CGAAACGGAGTTTCCCATCCTTCTTCTTTACGAAGAAGACCGGTGATGAGATTGGTGATTTTGAGGGGACGATATAGCCTTTCCGTAGGTTTTCTTCTAGGAAACGATCCAACTCCTCCTGCTCGTTTAGGGACATGGGATAAATCTTGGTACGCATGGTTGCCGGTGCTCCAGGTACGAGATCAATCGCATGGTCCCAAGGTTGGTGGGCAGGTAATCGTTCGGAGGCGGATTCTGAGAAAACCTTCTTGAAATCACGATACTGCTCAGGGACCATTTCTTCGAAGGTTTTAACGGGTTTGTCTCGGTTGGCTTCCTCTGCTAGCTGCTGGGAGTAAGTGAATCCTGCGGCGCACCAGACTTCCTCCGTCTGTTCCTCTAGAATTCCTGCTTTTACCCATGCCCGGCGAGTTTTATGATTGGCTCGAATTCGGTGTATTGGTGGTTCTTCCACCGCTGCTGATTCACTTGGTTCAAGGGTCGCTTCTAGTGGCACCTCAATGTGGGGGTTTTCTGCGGGAGGTTCCAGTTCCGGGAGTTCGAGGATCGGGGTTTCTGTGTGAGTGGCGGCTAGATGAGAGTACAAGATCTCCTCGTCTGGGACTTCTTCTATCATTACTCGAGGAGGCTTTACTGAAAGTCGTCCTTTCTCCCAATCAATCTCCGGATTTACCTTCCGTAGCCAGGGGAGTCCAAGGATGATGTCTTCACCTCCTAGGTTGGTGATCAGAAAGTCCATCCATCGCTCTTGATTATCCACTGTGAGTGCTAGACGTGCAAAATGGGTTATCCGTCCAGCTCGGTTAGGTGTTCCATCGATATTAAAAACGTCGATTGGTTTATGGAGGGGTGCACATCTTACATGGTTCCGGGTGACAAAATCTTGGTTTAAAAACAGGGCGGTAGCTCCACAGTCTACCATGGCTGCAGTTGTTATACTGTGATTCCTTCCTCTTAGTCTCGCATGAATTCGGAAATGTGGGGAAGTAGAGTTTAATTCCCGGATCGACGATATTGTACATGATGGGTGCGAGTCATACGAGGAAGTAGCGAACATAACAAACTGATTACGGGGTACTCTCGGTGCAGCCGAAGCGGGTACCCTCTTTAAAAACCCTGTTGAAAGCCAGAGGACGAGGAGGACATAGCGTTAGCACGATCAAGTAATTCCCTTATTTGACCAATCTGATTGGAAAAGTCCTGGTTAGGGGGGCTCGGAGTAGCAGCTACGGGTGCAGGAGCAGATGTTGGGGTCAAGGACGCGATTTGGACGGATTCGTTTGGGAATAGGGAGAATGGCGCGGGTCCCGTAGCGGATATCTGTTGGCGTCGAGGTTGCTGGCGTCGGCCTCGGTCTCGTCCGAGTCCCATGAATTTGTCTTGGCAGACTGCTTCCAGATGTCCTCGACGTCCACAGTAGCGGCAGGTGGTTTCTCGGTGTGGGCAGTTTTGCTTGACATGACCTTGGGCACCGCAGCCGAAGCATCGTCCTCGCATGCGAGCTAGGAATGCTTCCCTAGTATTCCCATTACTGGTGTGGGTTGCATCAATGTCCATAGCATGGGGGTCAGCAGGGGTAGTATGAGCGGTATGCGTGGGAGGGTATCCAGAGTTCCGGCCAGTCATCGTGGGATCGTGCAGGTAGACATCCACCGATATGGCCCGTTTGATTGCCTCCTTCAGAGTCGGAGCAATTCCTTGGGCAATGTTTACGGTGATGAGGTGTTGTCGGATCTCTGGGAGTAATGCAGTGAAGAAACGTTCCCGCAAGTCAATATCAGACATTTCAGTCCGATCTCCGATATCCTTGAACTTCTGAGCAAATTCCGCAACTGTCTGTCCTTTACTTTGCCTGAGATTCTTGATCTCGCTACGGGCTTCCATACCTGGGTCCATTGGTTCAAACCGTTGGCTAAATTCCTTCAGAAACGCCTCCCAATTTCCTCCGAAGGGGGGATTTTCCGCATTGAAATGTAGCAGATGGGGAGTTGCCCAATCTCCGGCACTTTCTGTGAAGAAGCCCAAGGCGGACTTGATGAGTTTTACTTGGCTTTTGGCGAGATCCGGTTGTTCTGACGCCCAATTCTGGAACTGAGCCATGAAGCGACGGGCTTCAGCGCCATCTTTACCCTTGAAAACCTCGGGTTTGTTCATGCTTGACTTAGAGGATGAGCGTTCCTCCATAGCTGTAGCAAGGTTAGCTACTTGTCTGATGAGCTGAGCCATGAGATCCTCCGCAGAGGTGTTTGGGGCAGGCGGGATAGGAGTCGACATGATGGGAGTAGGCAATCGGGGCTGGGGAATCGGCAGGAAGGTTATATTGCTCACAGTGAGTGGCTCTCGGATTGAGTTCGAAAGGGCGTTGGGGCAGGGTTGAGACTGGCAATCGCGCCAAGTATCGTCGTTGTTATGGGCGTGAGCTTGGTCTCTGGGGTCAAGTGCGTGCGGGAGTGCGGAGCAGTCTATACTGGCAACAGGTGTTTCAGAGTCGGGCGGAACTGGGGAAGACGTGGTGTCTATAGACCCTGCAAGGACAACCTTATCGGTAGGCTGTCAGTGCAGTAATGGATCTTGACCTAATGTCACGAAGCGGCAGAGGCGGAGTGACTAACGGAGCGGAAAAGCGGAGCGACTAAGCAGAACGGTGAGGCGGAGCAACTGGACAAGGCAACAAGGCGGAGCAACTAAGCAGAACGGCGGCAAGCTGGTCCCAGATAATGACAGAGATATATTGAGTATCGTAGTCATAGGTAATAATAAGTAAGCACATACCTGGTCCCAGATAATGACAGAGAGGTCAAGATAAGGGACCAGGCTGTGGAGGGTTGGCTATATATACATAATCCGGTCTGCGAGAAACAACGATGTAATACTGTACAGTTTAGGAACAAGGAAGGTGGCGGAAGCCAGTAGAAGGAGAAGATGGGTCAGGTGGATCAGTAATCAATGGGGGTTTGACAGTGATGGGATGATGTATCGTACAAGTAAAGGCGTCGAGACGGTGAGAAAAGGAAAATGATAGGGGCTGCGTACTTTATGACAGGAATGCCAACCAATACCAACCCTCATCCTGGGACCTCCTTTCCAGGCTTCCACTTCCATTTAGGAGCTCCTACTCCTACAGCCCACGTCTTTTACAAGCTCTCAAGGCTCTATATTGGCCCTCTCAGCTCCCAGGACCTACAACACATGGCTCCCACAATGTTCCTAGCTATTGAGTTCATTATCGTACACCAATTACCATCCTAGGGACCTTCCTGGACCTCTCAGGAACCTCCCCAAGGGTCACCACTTTGTTAAGATCATGTACACCATATAACCGTGCCAGGGCCACAAGGTGTCTAAGTGCGGAAGACGAGTGGGACAGTAGTGAAGTTATGAACAACACCGCCGTTACGCCGTTAGTCCCCAGAGATCGAGAGTATAGAGGGAGGAGCTAAATAGCAGCCAAGTCGGAGTGGCGGTATCGCCGGTGACGAGGAGCGAACCGAAGAACGTCTAAGTCCTAAGGTTATAGTAGAGAGTACTTCAAGGTGATGAGCCTGAAGACTTAGAGGAGCACAGAGTTAAGGAGGGAATCTAAGTCGATCTAAGTTGATAATTAAACTGAGGAACTACAGTAGCGTACAGGCAGTATTTATATCTACGGAACGGCGCAGCGGTGCGGAGCGCCAGACTAACTACTAGGAGCTATACGAGTAGTACCTGCAGGGTAGAGTAAAAGACAATAAGGAGAGACTAGAACGAAAGGGTATGTGTAGCGAGAAAGAACAATAAGAAGAGATTACAATAAAGAGTGGATCTTCGGAGTACCGAGCGGCGGAATGGAGGCCCGAGGCATGGACTTGACACACTTACATTTCCATACTACTACTAGGTCATTCCAGTCCTCGGTTGCAGTTCCTGTAGCTCCAGCTTGCTCCTAGCATGCTACAACGTAGATTACCCATACCAAACCAATCCCTAAGACCAATTCCGACCCAGGTCTTACAGAATCTTGGAAACCCAAGTTTTGGGACAAAGCATCAAAGCATGATTCTGCCCATTTCAATCAAAATCTTCAGATTTAAATCCTTAATTTTGAGCAAATGCATATGCTACAAGTCAATTGGTGTTAAAAATTGAGCATATATGCTGTTATACACCTTTAGCAAATAAAGTTGAAGGTGTATATTCAACATCAATTTCGAGCTTATTACAATAGGAGCATCTGGCATCATAAATATTTAAGATGGTGTAGCCATAAAACCAAAGGATTTCATGTCTGATGGTAAACCAATTTGATACTAAGGCCCAGCATTATCTGTTTAAATGAAGTTGCATGTGACCATAATGATACAATACACAAGGCCAACCCTAACATCAAAATGGGGAAATTTTCAGTGGTCAAGGTGTGACTAATCAATTGATACCAGTTGATTGCCAAATAAACAAAAGACGGGTTGACAGTTCTTTTTCCCTTCTCTGTTTACTACCACTTCACCCTTCAACAAATTCTTGGAGAATTTGGAATTTCCATTGGTTCATAGTTTAGTTAAAGGTGTGTTTTATGAATATTTTTTTCCATGAAGGATTGTCCTTCCTAAAGCCCCGAAATGGCATTCTTGCCACTGCTACTGCCAATCCTTCAAGCTTCAACTTGAAAACGGTATCACAGTTAAGCACTTGTGCCATTCTTCCTGCTTCAAAATCATACCCTGCCACCTGGTGGTGTACTTATTTCTGCATCTCCAAAATTTGGATTTTCAGCCAAGACTAACAGTGCTTCCCAGCACTGTCTAGCTAGTACCCTTGCTATTGTAATCATCCAGATTTTGCAAATGCCTTTCATCCAAAATGACAATATCTCTCTACTCTGGTGCTCAATGGCTAATCTTGTCTGTATCAAACTAGGGTTCTCTACCTGCCAAATTCATTGGACTTTGAAGTCATATAAGTTTGTGACCTCCTTACTATCCTTTCATCCATCTCATCAAGGGAATACTTAGACAAACATCCTTATGACTGCACCCAACATTGCTTTAAATCTTGATCACAGTAAGCAACCCAGTGCATCCCGATCATTGTTGTTAGCTATTCAGAAAGTACTGATAATTTTCATAGATTCTAAGTCTATGGAATTTCCTCGGGTCAATCATAACATCAACTTGGTAACTTTACCCCAGAGTCCTATGGGAATTATTTCTTCTACCTCCGCACATTCCCCGAACGATGCAACTGTCATTGAAACTCAAATCACAGATGATGAGCTCCCTGGCATTAGCATTACCAACCTTCTCGTTTCACAGAGAGCTCGTAGTCCTCTAACTCCAAAGCATTTACCTATCAAGGCTACCGGGTTCACATCTACTAGTATAAACAGAGGTGATATCAGGACTTACCTGACACCAAGAGACAAGCCTAACGTGGGAACATCTTATGATTCCGCTTCTCCGATACTTTCTCCAACATCTCCATCCCGCATCACAGTTGCAAACACAAAGAATCGAAAACTCTTACCACTTCCCAACAAACCCGTAATTGACCTTACATTAGATGACCAGGACAATATTATTGACTCATCAACAAAGAGTAATACATTTGGTGGACACCCGGGCAAACAACCACGAACTCAGCTTCCAACCTATGGAGAGACAACGGATTCGCAAAGTTCCTCTTGGAAGCTTCATAACGGTTCTACTTCCAGTAAAGGATCCTCAGCCAAGCAGCCCCGAAGACTCCCTCGAATGGTTCACGGTGCCCCTCGCGATGTTCAGAAGCGACTCGGTCGACGACCAAGAAAATTCCCTATACATGCCACTGCCGCTGCACTCATCAATCAGTCCAAGGAGCGATTCTCGAAAAAGCCTGTCACCGTATCTACTTCCGAAACGGATAACAACCAGGAAATTTTATCCACGGAACCTGAAGGTTTCGCTATACCTTCTCGCTCTATTCAAAGATCCCCAAAGCTGTTTGACGTTGAAAAACAGGGACCCCGAATTCCTGATACTTCAGCATCTCCTCATAATGTAATGAGAAACTCGCAATACAAGTCAGAAGAAGAGCATGACCTCGTCGGTGCACTCACCTCAGCGTTTACCCGCAATGCTATTCCGGACGATTTTGATAATTCAAGCGATTTCTCTTCTGGCACCCACTCCGATGTGGCTCCTCCTAAACGTAGTCGTAGCCTTCGACAAGCAATTAAGCGAGTCCCCCAAATTCCTACATCTCCCGCGCTGAATCTACTACGTCAGGAACGGACTCCTAGAGGGCTGTGCGTCCCTCTTAGCGAGGAGGCAATTCAGAAATACCTGGATGTCGAGTATTCCTCAGTACACCTTCCTCTTGGCGTTTCCGTCGCTCCAGAAAATGATAGTGAATATGTGGACCCCAACGACGAGCTGCTCCTTGATTATGATTCGAGCAACGAAATTGTCGCGATGCGAAGAGAGCAACAACAGCTCAGGTTATATCATGCACCAACGGTTTTGGTGCATAACCTCAGGTTTGTTATGGAGCAGGCCGAATCTTCCGCTGGTGGCATCAGTCGGTCAAATCCTTTTCGACAGTACAATGTCTCAACCATGCCTCTGACCATGGCATATGTTCACCGCGTTGAAAGCCATTGCGGTTATGGTGCATTGGACTCGATTCGGAGTAGTATGCCAGATTGGGATTTTCATCCCAAACCCCTGAAGGTTAGTTCTTCAAGTTCGCGAAAAAAAAGGAAGCTGATACATTCATTCAAGCAGTATCGAATTCGAGTCGCAGCTGATGGGTCATATTCTAACAATGCGGTCCCTGCTGAATCGTTGGACGTCGGCGAACTTGTCGCTCGTCCCGAGAAACATCCACAGCCAGAGAATGACTCGGAAACCCGCAAGAGGGTCAAGTTCTTCAACAATGTCGCCAATCTCGTCCCATCTACGACTCTAAGTGAAGGAGCTGGCCGCCCAGAATTCGATGTGATTGCTTGTGGAGAACTGCTCCTAAAGCTCGTGAAAGGGAAGGTTCAAATAGCCGCTCAGGTGAGTTGTCATTTTCGTCTTCTACGTATCTGGTTATGAAACAAGTCCTCCAGGAGTTGGAAGATATCATGTCCTTCTTGCGAAATCCGTCGTTGGAGTGTATGGCCAAGAAATTCCGACAAGGAGATGACCTTGGCTTCTTCAACACGGTCGCACGCCACGATTATGATTCCATATGGCGATCTCTCCGATACATCATGCAATCGGCATCCGGTGCTTTGGGAATACCAGAGCCCATAGAAGGCGCGTTAAAGTGGGAGGCTTCGAGAGTCATGAAAAATATCTGAAATCAAGTGGTAGGGGTCTGGGTCTGTAATCAACATCAACCACAAAAATCTGGGCTCTGTTACCTGTTCCAATTTCAAACTTGTCCTGCATGGAGGAATCCAGCATTTAATTTTTTTAAACTATCAGGGGCCCACATTCGTACTATATCGCTAACAAAGAACATGAAAGGAGGAGATTACTTCTTGGCATAAGCATAGGTAACGAAGGTTAAGAGCGAACTGGAGGGATGGTGAAAATCAGAGAAAAGACCAACAGAAAGTCATGAATGATACACGTCACTGAACAATGACCTGTACAAAATCGTAATGCAACAAGGAGAAACTTAACCGTACAATCCTATGAGTAAGAGAACGGCGAGTGTCAGGGTATGGGTGAGGGTATATATTCCGTGATTCTAGAATCCTGAGAATCGTCTAATGGAGGTGTTTTAGATGTATGCATTTATTACTAGACGCGGCTAACCGCGCTTGAACAAATCCTAAGGATACTTTTGGAGGTTTCGCTTGCTGGAAATTCCGGTAGACCTTCAGGGACTATCTGTGGCCTCGTGCTCTCGTCGTCCAGGTGGCGTGATTTTCGACATACCCAAAAGACTTTGAAAGGGCTTCCTTTCGGGCGTCTTTTCACCGTCTTTAGATGTCTCGGCTTGAGCACTATGTTCGGGTGTTCTTCCTCCCTCTTCATCGTCATCAATGTCGGACATGACATGATCCTCACGCTCATCATCTCCTTCAACACTATCGTTTTCGCTCACGGAGCTGCAAATGCTAAGAGCGTCCGATGCACTAGAGCTGCGTGACGACGATGACGAACTGCCAGCACTCGATTTTGGAGGTCTGATGGTTGGCTCATCGTCAGTGGTCCAACCTCCATCCGTTTCCGTTTCTGCTTCAGTTTCAGTTTCCGTCTCCGTTTCAGCGCCTTCGAATTCTGAGTCTTCTTGGTGTTGCATCCTCAAAGACGACGAAAACCCATTTCCATTCACTAATCCATTCAAAGCATGATGAGGCTGGTGTTGACTAGGATTGATAATCCTCGACAGTGCGTTGGATTCAACTCCCGGACGAGCACCTTGCCTTGTCATCGATGTACCACTTTGCGAAAATGGGAGGTTCGTGGAAGGAGGAAGCGATGAGGAGGCCGGTGATTCTCCACCAGGAATGGGCCCACCGTACGCATCAATGGCACCCATGCAATGCATTGGGACCATATCATTGGATTGAGGGGGTGCAGTAGCTGATGTGGCAGTCGGTCTAGGTGTAATCGAAGAGGAGGAGGAAGAGACACCTAGAGAGGGAGATTTGTTGGAGGAAAACAGGATTAATTGTTCGGCGTATCTCTGCATTTCATCCTTGGGAATTACGAGATTGAAGTTATTGAGAAGGAGGAATTGCAGTTCGAGCTGATTTAATTCAGCCAGTGGAAGACCTCCAACCTGAGATCGGGTGAAAACATTCATATCAGAAAGTAAACAAGCTGACATTGAAACATACTTTTGCGTATCGTGAGTTTGTGTAAAACACATCACTGAAGAATTTGCTTGCCACAGTGACTCCAGCAATGACAAGTCGATGAATATTGTAGGAGTCGATGACAAAGCTTCTTCCTGTTGCCTCGGATGTCAACTTGGTCATGCGGTCAAAATAGACCAGCAGTGAAAGGAAGACCTCATTAGTTGTCGGGCAATATTTGAGGATTCGTAATAGATACGATTCTAGTGATATAGTGGGAATGTTCCTTGCATGAAAAGTGAGTGTAGAAGAGGGGGTTGACAGCGCGGATCGTGATGCTGTAGTCAACGAGCGCCACACGACATTGTGAAGTTCAGATGATGTTGATGAGGAAGACGACAAAGTGGAAGATGAAGATGCGGCATCAAGTTTGTCGTTGGTGGAAGCTATTTGGGTCAGCAATGAGGCCAACAGCCTTAGGAGGTCATGAGGGGGATAAGAATGAATGTCAAATGAGGTCTGCGCTGCAGGAGTCTCAATCTCCCTCGGATCAGCCGTAGGTGGTGGCTGTAGGTGCTCTGGACTCGTAGCAGAAGCAATCTCCGAATGTGAAGTGGCTGGCTGACGGTGAACAAATGGCTGTGTAGACGATGATAACCTATTCGTGGTTACCGACTTCGGTGCGGAGAACATCGAAGAAGAATGTAAACTTGTGGTAGGGAACGATGAGGATGTTTCCCTAGCGGAATGTGGAGTCGGTTTCCTATGATGCGGGGTCCGGTTACGGCTAGACGTCGTATTTCTGTGAGGAGTATCTGGCGAAGGGTTGAAAGGATGGACAAGGGCGAGCATAGCGGTTCGACCGTTGAAAGTAAATGATTTCAAGAGAATTTTATGACCGACGCGATATTACAGGTGGATGTACGGCTTGAGAAGATGTGGATCAACGAGAAAGGGTGTGAGAATGCTTCAGGTCACGCTTCGTCACCTTTCGTCACGCTCTTTTCATTCCGCCTGGTGCCACAATCGTATTCAATGAGATTCTATGTTCATAATGCTCAAAGTCCATTCACTTCTTACCCCACAAAGAGCTGCTTACACTGCTGAATCTGCAGGTAGGCTTGGTCTCACCAATACCATCTCTGTGGGTCCCCTTTTACTTATAGCGAGAGGCGAGACTCTATTGCTGTAAGTATTCGGCAGGCTGACAGTCCTTGAATGCCTTACCAACTCTGATTAATCCTGTGCCCAACATTCTCATTCCGGATCCTTGGAACAAGAACTGCAGCCCAAGTTTTCCACCCTTTTCTACCTCAGTCCAAAGTGGTTCATGGCGCGCCACGCATGACGAAGTCAATATGATTCTTGAGTAGATATACCGGGATCTCAAACGTGCGGACCCAGTCATCAGATGACTGTTACTAGACCGGAAACCGTCCCTCTATGAGGGCAAACTTCGATAGAGGGTTTCGTCTCCTAGTGGGCTTGGTCTCCAAGCTAGACTGTTACCAGGTTGCAATTGAATTCCGAATCTAAATTTTTTCCTGGGAGGCCTTTGCTTACACATCCCACTACTTTTTTCAAGTGGTCGGTACCTATTGACATCATTCCGCTTCCCAAACCCCAGTGGTTCAATACGGGGGCAGGTAACTAATCTAGGATCCTTTGTTCGATTTTGGGCTTTCCCTTCCCGGTAGCCTTCCTCCAATTTCAAAGCTTATATGTGATCTCACATGAGCTCATACTTTGTACAATGCAGCTGGTTGAAGACCGAGGATAGAAGGTGTAGCGCCATTCTCCAACTGGTTTCTCATACTGCAATACAGTATGACGAAGTCGGGAGTCACTCTGAGTAAATCTTATCTCTGTCAGGCGATACGGGGTACTATGTACAGTGCTTCAACACTACAGTTTTGTCGTGAAAGCTTGTGCAGAGGCAAAGGCTTTTTTGAATTCCGAAATCAGGGCTAACCATTGCATGTGAAGCCCTTCTGCATGTGAAAAAAAAGGTAGGAGGTGGTAGGAGTCTCAAATCATAGGTCATCAAGGGAGCATGCGGATGAATCCATATCATATGTAGAATCTACGTGAAAATGCAAGTGGTGATTGATAGATACCCACTACGAATTTATCTCAATTCTCCGATCACAGTTCTGTCCGACTCATAATTCATCCTTTCCAGCGTTGGATTTCTTTCCATTCCTTCCTTCAAAGCTGTCCAAAGGTCGGCACAGAGCTGGCGTTGTCCCTGTGAATTGGTACTCGCATTTTTCCAATTCGACAACGGAATTGAGGGTATTTTCAGTACCGCAGCTAAGCAACAACTATGTAATATCGGGGATCAGGGACAACGTAGACTCAGAATCGAAGAATGATGATTTCGTACCACAACATTCCGCTCGGGTCCATTCCAACATCTAGTTCCACGATTGTATATCTGTTTCTGATAATAGGCTTCTTCCCCAGGCTTAACATCTGGCGACGGGTTCCAGGAAGCAAATTTCCTGAACAAAAGATATAAGTCCGGGCATTTGAATAGTGAATCAGAGAAACCGACCCTAGACTGAAAGTAGATCCTCCCTTGTTGGGAATCTGTTTGGCTTCACCGAAGAGGCAAACCTCATATGTGTAGCTACGAAGGGCGGATTGAACGGGACGCATAAAACTTCGATAACAGACTTACTCTCCATTCTCTGTCCTGAGACAAGTACCGTCGAGTTTCTTCCATTCACCTTCAAGCCCGTAGCCATGGATATTGAATATTTCCTTGAGGTCATTCTCTGCATTTTCTTTGTCTTTTTTAACTTTGTTCAGCTCATTCTCAGCGTCAGTGAGGACTTGACGTGAGCGGGAAGTATCTAATGAGCTACGAGTGAGTCACTTCCTACGGGTGTATTCGAGCAACACAACGTACCTGTAGAGCTTGAAGTTTCACTTTTGATGATGCCAAAGCTTACGAGCAAGGAAAGAATAGTTTCTTTGAACTCCTCGTATTGCGGGACAACGGAATCGGGAAGGTAAGAAGCGATATCGAAAACTACTCACAGTTAGATGGCGTTGGAAAGAAAGACGGAAGAACTCACGGACAGATCCTTCGGGTGGAGATTGCACGTACTCATCGTGCTCTAAAAGGAGAGAGATATAATCCGAGTTGAGGAGATCGTCCAAGTCGTTCTCGAGCTCCTCCGCCGACCACATTTCATCATCCACTTCTTCCTTGCTTTGTGCAACGTCAGATACAGTATCTTCTTCAACACCCGCTTCTTCATCAGAAACTGAATCCTTTCCAACGTCGTTGATGTGAGGGAGACCGGCAATTTCTTCCCATCCGCGGACGGCTTCGAGGACTGCCATGTCCTGATAGTTGGGATTATATCCAGTACGGAGGGCATCCAAGATGTTGCTAAGTTCCTTCTCGCGTTGAAGATGTTTCCTGTGTTCCCTTTGTAAAGATTTCAAAGCGTTTGAATGCGTGATCAGCGAGGTGTAGAGAGCTATTAGTTGAGTGAATTCAAATGACATTACAGCAAGAGAAAGTAAAACAGGTTAAACTCACGAGACTGCTGTTTCATTTCTAGGGCAGCGGCAGATAATGATTCAGCCCGTTCAGCAATATCTGCATACGAGTCAGAGCGTGTTGAGTTAATACCGACAGGTACGACTAACCTCTGAGGCGCGCAACTTCCTTTTCTTGAGCAGTAATTTGTGCCGTAGAGGTCTCGATAACTTCTTCTAAGCGTTTCTTTTCCTTATGGGCATACGCAATGTACGTTGAACGAATTTTGGATCCCTGCTCGAACGATGTCAGGAATATGGATCCATCAGTGAGGTAGACCGACCGTCTTCCGGATCTTTGTTTCCTCTTCAACCTTCGTCTTGTAAGCCTGGCCTACTTCTTGACAAACATTATTGCAGACTCCCGGGCGTTCGTCTGACCCATCGCAGCAGTTTGGTTCTAATAGGAGGTTCTGTCACTGTCTCTGAAAGCGCACATGGTTAGACACACCACAAAGTCCATCTCTCACCCTTGAACTAGGAATGAAAGAGCCAATGTGTCCTTCGTTCTGACAATAGAATGATTGATTTGGGCAAGCACCAGTTCCTTCGGGAATGTATTCAATGATGGTGGCAACAGAGTCCAAAGGTTGGGGATATACCAGGCTCATCACTTCCATCAGCGCAATCACACGAATCATCGTTCACATAATCCCAAGGAATTTCTTGCGAGCCGTCCAAACAGGTCCACGTATTTGATCTGGAAGGAACATATTTAGAAACCAAGTAGGGCGCGATACCCAATGTCTTTTCGACAACCCCTAGGGCTGGAAGTGGAAGAGGGAGCAGTAGGAGCCAAAGCATACTGCCAGCCAATCTACGCGACTCGGAATGGTGAGCTGGTCAATAGCAACGGGAATGTATTCGACGCTATTCGACGCGACAAACGACGTGGTAATACTAACGTAAGCAGCGATAAGATAAGATGCCCATCTGTGTGAAAATTGAGTAAGCGATATCATAGAGAACTGCAGCGCGGCCTCAGCATTCCCAAACACCTTAATCTTCTCCAAATGGTGGGTGATTGTTACAATTTTGCGCTCTTGCTGCGCGAATCGACTCGGGAGATCTGCTTGAACTCGATCGACAACGAGATTCTGCGTTCAATGATGGAAAAAGGATGGATTCAGCGTTTTGGAATCGGATGATGTTTTTCCTTCAAATTTCTGACTTTATTCGTCTTTATATAGGCCAAAGCTAAAGCAGCGGCCCCCACCTCCAGTGGAGGAAAAGCAGCAAAGAAGAAGAAGTGGTCGAAGGGAAAGGTCAAGGACAAGGCCCAACATGCTGTCGCCGTTGATAAAGTCCTCTTTGACCGTATCGTGAAGGAAGTCCCCACCTTCCGAATGATCTCCGTATCTACCCTTATCGATCGTCTAAAAGTCAATGGCAGTCTCGCACGTCGTGCCATCCAACATTTGGAGAAGGAAGGCCATATCAAGCGTATAGTTCATCACAGCCGGCAGTTGATCTATAGTGCGTATACACAAGCTTTTTTGTCGCTTCGAAGATGCTTAGTGCTTGTTTTAGCCCGGGCGACAGCAGCAGCAGACTAAATTACCCGGTTCACTGTCTCTTCCATGTACTAGGCATATATGTATTTCACGCACGCTAAAATTCATGCTATTCTAACTTCAACTGTCTTACCTGTGCTCTTGTGTGATTACCGAACATTCTGTTGTAACATTCACCTTCTTGCTTATGCGTATCAGCGGCGACTTGGTCATTTGTGTGTTCCGGGTGGCGCTCAGAGTTCAACGCTAATGGTTTTGATTCAGATCGAATTGGCGTCAACTTCGAACCCAAGGAGTCTTCCTTCTTACCTCGGTCTTCTCGTAGTCGGCATATCCCAAGGAATCTTCTGTTTTGATGCAGTCTGATGCACACGGCGATGTCAAATCGAACAAGTAAATATCGCACATGATGCATCGCCCGGGTGGGAACTCTTTATCTTGAGTATCTCCTAATACCAGTATCCCATCCTTCTTTACGATCTCAGTAGGCTGAAAGTATGTCCGGCGACCAGTTCAAGGCCCTGTACAAACCAGCAATCGACACTGAACTGATCAAGCCATCCAAGAAACGACACCTTCCCCCAATCCTAGAACCCATTCGTCTTTACCCGCTTGACCTTCTGATGCCTCCGATAAACGTGCGAATGCCTATTCTATTCAAAATAATACCTGCATTGGATTTGGAGTCGAGCTCAGCAATCTACGAAGAATTCGAGATTATAGTGGCAAAGCTAAAGGCCTCTCTTGCAGAAGCATTAGAACTCTATCCACCCGTCGCAGGGACCATTCATAAATCGCCCGGCGACGCGTCCGCCATCACTATAGCTTGTGACGGTCGAGGAGCTACCTTCGCTACGCAAGTAGAAAGGCAATCCTATATGGAATCAGAGCATACCTTAGACGGACTTTCTGCAGGCGATCTCCTCGCTCTGGATGACTCTCAGACACCCTTTGGGGTCAAGTTGACGCTGGTGAGCACGTTTCTAACTGGGTAATACATATTACAGAGTTTCATGAGATTAGTTTTCTTGTGGGACTGTAGTGATGATTACCTCCATGCATCACCATATGGCAGATCTCACCTCTTACATGGATTTTCTTGAGAATTGGGCTCAATTATCCCGAGGCGACTCGAACGATCTTGTTCTTCCCCAATCATGGTCCCGTGACCTCAACCTGCCAACACCTGCCGGGGTGCCTTCAATGATGCCAGGCATCCTGATTCTTCCTCCTTCTTCAACTCCTCCGCCACTGCCTGTTCTTCGTGTCGACGGACTGAGATGGTTCATCAGTAACGCGAGTTTGGCACAATTGAAAACCGACTGTATAGCTGTTCTCAATAGCGAGGATCCAGTCAGATCCTGGATATCCAGTGCAGATGCATTTACGGCTCTGGTTTGGGGTGCAATGACGCGCGCACGACATAAAATCCCCACTAAATCAATGCTATTCACTAATAACGACGCTGAATTGGAGTCATTGGGTGTAGCAGTCGATGGACGAGAGAGACTGGGCCTAGGAGCTGGAAGCCCTACACGTTTCTTCGGTAACTTGAATTTGTCACTGGCTGTATATGCTCCGCGAGCAGATCTTCTAGGAGCTACCCTCAAAGCTACGTCCGACGTCGCTTTGATAATTCGCAGAACAATCCAGGACGAGTCAAGACCGGAGACAATAGCTTCAAGGGTTGCATTTCTGGAGTCGAAGGTTGAGGCGACGAAACCTTATACCCATAGGATTGTCCTTGAGGGAGATTGCAGGTCGACGAATTGGTCAAAATACGATTTGACGAAACTGGACTTTGGGTTGGGATCTAACGTGAAATCAGTGGGGACTACGCTAGGCACGAAATCGACCTATCCTGCTGGGATGTTCCTCATTGTAAAAAGTAGTGGAGGTTTGGTTGTGGCCACAACGGTAGAGAAGGAAGCTGACGTGCTACTCAAAATGGATCCACTTTTAACCCAATATGCAGAAGTTTTAGTCGAGTAAATTTCGTTTGTACTAAATTTTGCCCGGGCGTTTACCGGAATCCGGAACAAGATTATGACTTCATGGCCTGAATATTTGCGCTCCCACAAAAAGCGAACTCCACGACCACCATGAGCTACTACATTGGTGTAGATGTCGGCACAGGATCTGCCAGAGCCGTTCTCGTCGACGACCATGGGAAAACTATCGCATCCCACACCAAAGAAACAACTACTTGGCGTGATCACGATGATCACCGCATCTTCGAGCAGTCCACTAACAACATCTGGGATTCGATTTCAAGTTGCATTAAAAAATGTTTAGCTGAATCAAAAATTCAACCCTCTTCAGTCAAAGGTCTTTCTTTCGATGCAACCTGTTCACTTGCAGTCTCCGACTTCAATGGTGACCCGGTTGTTGTCACCAAAGGCAAGGATTTAGGACAGAAAGGTGATCGTAATGTGATCTTGTGGGCAGATCATCGAGCGGAGAAGGAGGCGGAGTTGATTAACAGTACGGGATCAGTGGTCCTGGACTATGTTGGTGGAACGATGAGCGTAAGTGCTCCTAACAAAAGATGGTCCATGTATCCTGACACAGACTTGAATCACAGCTTGAGATGGAAATTCCTAAAACACTTTGGCTCAAAAACCATATGGAACCTTCCTTATTTACGCGTTGCCAATTTTTCGATCTACCGGACTTTTTGACCTATCGTGCTACAAAAGATAGTACGAGATCTTGCTGTTCCGTTACATGCAAATGTTCCTTCGTACCCAAGAGCGGCTGGCAAGCCGATTTTTTCGAGAAAATCGGTCTTGAGGAGCTTGTTCAAACCAATTACATGCAGCTGGGAGCTGCGAACGGCGAGGTATTAACTGCTGGTAAGCCAGTCGGAAACGGACTTTCGAAACAAGCTGCGGAGGAATTTGGTCTCGTTGAAGGTACACCCGTTGGTAGTGCTGTCATCGACGCGTACGTCTGTAGTCAAACCCGACAGTATCTTTTGCATCCCTGCTTATGTGCTGTAGATATGCTGGATGGCTGGGAACTGTCGCCGGACGATATAAGGAAGACGGCAAGCTCTCTGATGCTATCCCTTCCATAGATGAGTCTCGACATCGTCTTGCTGCTTGCGCTGGCACGAGTACGTGCCATATCGTACAGGTAGATTTTATTCCTCTTTGAATAAAATTTGTGCTTACGTCTCTCTCAGAGCCGAGAGGGTGTATTCGTGAACGGTGTTTGGGGACCATACAAGGTTGAATAAGAATTCAATACCTCAATCACTGAATTGACGCATACGCAAGGACCCGGTTTTCCAAGGATGGTGGATGAACGAAGGGGGTCAATCGTCCACGGGGCAGGTAACAGAACTCTTTTCGTTTCTCGACTTTATATAACCTAATACACGACAGCTCATTGACTTTATGATCAAAACTCATCCTGCCTACCCTCGTCTTCAGAAGATGGCTGAGGAGCAAAAATCCAATATCTTCGCAAGTTCGTAGTGTTGCTTTTTATATCCTCCGGATACATATATTGATGACGATGTGGACTAGTTTTACAGGACCTCCTTCAGAAGATGAAGAAAGACAGTAACGCCGAGAGTTTGACTGAACTGACCAGAGATATGCATTTCTATCCAGATCTCCATGGTAAGCTTTCACATAATAGTAACTGTCTGTGCTCAAAGGGATATGCAGGTAACAGGTCACCCATTGCCGACCCTCGAATGAGAGGTTCTTTTGTTGGCCTTACACTTGTGAGCTTTTGCACCTATTGTGTATTGCTACCCGTTGATTCCTTCATAGGACGATGGGCTCAACGACCTTGCACGGAAATATAACGTCACTCTCGAAGCAATTGCTCTTCAGACTCGCCACATTGTTGACGAGATGAACGCTAAAGGGCACAGCATTACCTCCATTTATATGAGTGGTAGCCAGGCAAAGAATATTCCGATGATGCAGTTGTTCGCAGATACCTGCGGAATGCCCGTTGTGCTACCCTTCGACGAGGGCGGTGCGGTGCCTCTTGGAGCTGCAATGCTTGGTAGATTTGCTGCAGAGGCAGCGCAAAAGGGTGTGCAGACCATGAGCGAAGAACAACAAGGCGAACTTCTCTGGGATATCATGGTGAGTCGAGTCATAATTTGACTCTTTTCTCATATTCCCGCTCAAATTCCCACTCAATTCTTTCTTTCTTTCACCGCAGGTGAAAATGACTCCTCCCGGAACTATTGTCAAGCCTGCGACATCCGGAAAAGAGAAAAAACTAATTGAAGCCAAATATAAAATATTCAGAGAGGCGATTGATATCCAGTATCGATGGCGGAAACAGATCGAGGAGGCGATGAATTGAAAACCAATGGTAGCTGTGTGGATTAAATAGAACATGTGTCATTAGACAGTAGAATGCAGCCTTTACTTTCTCAAATATTCTAAGCATGCTTCCAGCTGCTTTCCAGTCATCCTATCAGCTGTCGCAGTACAGAATGCACCCAGGGAAAGAGACTACTCAGGGTTGCCAGCGCGATTATCGGGGGCTGAGCTGGGCTGCGTCGGATCATTTTCGGGCAAGAGCTGTGTAAATTAAAAAAATTTCGTTTCATATCTTGTCCTCTTACCACCACCATAAATCAGAAATGGCCACTCAATTGTGATATCCTGCGTCTACAACGCACTCAACGTCTATTTCCAATGGACCTGCACTTTACTTGAAAGCTATCTTTCAAGCTCCCAACCCTTTTTCCTATGTCTTCGTAAATTTGCTCGTCAGATCCCCTCTGACCTAGTCGCCCACCATGGCCTTCGTTCAAACAACCTCGAAAAACAACAAACAACTCCCCGCTTATACTTGTACCGATTATCGAGTATTTATCGCTCCATCGTTCGTATTTAACCATGACAACTATCCAACAAAAGTCTACCAAAAGTTTAATGACGGGAGACACATCATCAATCCTGAAAATGACCGAAACCCCAACCGCCCCGTTGGCTGGCGAAGTTCCTTCGTACGACATATCTAGTGTGGTCGAGACGCTGCTAAGTAAATTCTATTTTTTCCCACTGTTGAGGTACACATACTGAATTGCTGTAGCTTCCCCCCAGTTCCAAAAGTCCGCTCGATTCGATGACTTCCTCGTTTCTCCTTTACTTTCTCCCTGCGACGAGTTCAACATGTCGCCCTCCACCAATAATTCCCCTCTCACTCCTAACCTTGACACACCGATCATGAACGATCTGTCTGATGACTTTGGAATTTACGGCTCCGAATATACGGGCGTTCCATTGTTTAGTGACAGCTCCCTGTCAATGTATCAGCTCCTCGAATCACCGGAGTTGGCGGAAGAGGTACTATTCAAGGCTTACGAGCTGCCAAAACTCGTACCAGAACTTACCTCAGCATCTGCTACTACTTCCGATATCGTAACCCCCATTTCACTCGACGGAAGTACTACCGGGAACCCTGCAGTACCCACAACATCTGATCCTGCCCCCAAAACGGGCAAAGGTCGGAGGTCCAATGCTACAGGAACCCGGAAGAATGTAACTCCAGAGTCCCTTGTCCCTGTCGATGCCCCGATTCAGGCGAGGAAGTATGCTACACCTTCAGCGACCTCCCGCAAGGAAATTCCTGCTGCGTTTTTGAAGTCTCAGAAACGCAAGCGCTCCAGGATACAGGCGTTCGGTGATGACGAAATACCAAATCCATCTGTTGGTGGTGCGCTTTCCCCTGAAGATGACGCGGCGGAAGAACAGCCGCCGCTCAATGCCACAGAAAAGGAGCTCATCGAGTGGAAGCGTCGTCAGAACACTTTGGCGGCGCGAAAGAGTCGGAAGAGGAAGCTGGAACATCAGCAGTTCCTTGAGACTCGTGTGAAGGATTTGGAGACGGAGAATGAGATGCTCAAGGTAAAATCAGAAGCTCTCGAAGCAGCCCTCAGGGCGCACAATATTTTTCTACCACCGATAGAGGCGTAGATTGGTACGTTTCAGCACTTGCCTATTGACTGTTTTTCCGTGGTGCTGGTAATTTTGATAAATCGCTTCGTTGCACGTTTTTTCAGAAATAAACCAAAAAAAAAGTTCATGTCCATTATCTTTATCTCAGTATTTTCTATCTTTCTTCTCTCCTTCTATTTGTATCATTACTCGTATCCAACTACCACCATCTTTTACCAGTATCCAACTACTTCTGCAGTCGTCTTTTTAGTTGTCCTTTTTCGCCATTAATGCAAGTGTTTTTCATCTTTCGGCCGAACGCGCCGATAAATCTCCCTTTTTGTAATGTGACATGTCACTGACGCTATAGCCAAGTGGTTACGGCGACAGATTTGAATTTGCATATCTGTTCCTCTTTGAGGGCGTAGGTTCGAACCCTACTGGTGTCGTCATTGTGCATGTTTTTTAATAATTTTTCGTGTTCACTCTATGAAGAATGCTACATATATTGACATAGCCTCAGTTCTTCACCAACAAATACCTTCTGGCAGTTGCTGAGGCTGAGAGTTGGACACAACTTTCTGTGTTGGGGAATGTTACTTTCAGGCCACACTTGGCACTCTGGGCTCCAACTGCACTTTGCTTGAGAAAGGATAAATTTCAGTTAACTTGATACTGAAACTGGTATGGCAGGGAATGATGCAGGATCTATGTATGCAAAAAGTGAGTTCCAGTATCAACTCAACTGGAATAGAGTAATCTAAGTATGTATCATCTGATCGTTTCTGCTAGGTTTTAGGAGATGATGAAAAAGTACCCTCGTTGAGCCAGGTTGTTGCCAATACGCCCATAATTTTCCCCAGTACTAATAGTGACACTCTTGATCTTCGTCGGTCCAATACTTTCTCTTGCATTCAAGATATATTTGTAGTCCTGAGTCACGAGTGATTAGGGAGATGATATGAGAGTGGAGAGGTCGGACGACGCTGAGGATAGAAGTTGCTGCATAGCCCCAATAATCTAGATTATGCGTCAGCGTAGGTCAGCGTCTGGCCTGTCGTCCTGGTCTTTGAACTCTGAATGGGAGTTTCGCGTTTGCTCTGCAGTGCCTCCATTACACTTCGAATCGAAGATACTTCAAGGATATCTGCTCAATCATCGTTTACTATAAGGAGTTACAAGGTCTGACCGTTAGACCTGACGATAGACGCGAATTACCAAGTACAATCCGAGTGCCCTACAATTTCAAAATTCACAAGAGCTTCACGTATGTAGCGGGGAACAATCCGCTCTTTCCATCCACTTCGCCTGTCCACCTGTGAATGAATTGGGTACGTTAGATAGTAGTCATAGCGCTGCAAGAAATATTAGGAAACACGCGCGTACCAATCGTTAGATGTTCGTTCAGTTACCAATATTCGTTGATTTTCCCGTATTTGAAGATCTGCGGGATCCTGGTTATCATTATCGAGATTACAGCATCGTGGTCAATTTTCTATGGCAAGGACAAATAACGATATGTAACTCACTTGCGAAACATAATCATACAACGCCTCGGCCCATTCATCCTGTTCCTCCTCTTGTTCCGGTTCTGGCTCTGGTTCTGGAGCTCTGTGTGGCGGGGGAGGCGCGAAATTATTCTTCTTCGATGCGAAGGCGGGGGGAGCAATGGGTGTGTTGTGGACAATGGGTTGTTTCCGTGACAAGCCAGAAACTAGCATGCTTTTCTTCGATGAGGTGTCGACGTCGCCGAGTCGCTGTGAGATCAAATGTCAAACAAAATCTGGTAGAAGGAGTACAGCAGAGACGCACTTGTTTTGAAACAAGACCGGCTGGAGGTTCAAGATTCCTAGGAGGCGCGTGCCGACTTGGTGGAGGAGCATTATTAAATGCAGAGGCAGCAGCAGCTACGCGGCCAGCAACTTGGCTGACGTTGACTCCGGATCCATCATCATTGTTTCCAGATGCACCTTGCAATTTAGTTGCGAGCTCAGGGCGAGATTGGAAATATCTGTGTGAGCAAGCGAATAAAGTTTGGAACTAATTCAAAGTTAAAGATAGTCGTCAAAAGAACGTACTCGTCTAGCAGAGAAAAGAATGCATCCTTTTCGTGATGGGACAGATTAGAAAAGGCCATCGCTGTTTGGGCCAAGTTATTGAGATGATCGCCGTGACGGCTCAAGGCCTGATTCTGGCCTGATTCGTCGACCTTGTACAATTATTTCCGTTGGCAGGCAGAACTGACATTATTCACGAGAACTGAGGACAAATGTGATGATTCTTCCTTAGGTGTAGTTGTCTTACAATATCGCTATCGCATGCATTGAGACCTCGGCTAGACGGCCGAAGTTTTTGGACAGTTTTGGCTTTCTACAGTAAGTCTATACATGTTATACGTACAGATCCTCTGTTATAGCTTGATAGTTGTACGATTGGAAGGGCACAATGCAAATACATTCTACTGATAAAGAGTCGAGAAAGCGGTAAATCATTCGATGGATGAAGATTTTACAGTAACAATCGAGGAGAAGGTAGCGAAGGTAAAACGATGTGAAAAGATGAGAAGAGTAGAATAAACAACCAAAATCGGTGATAAAATAGCTGTGAATACCAATGGAGAGGGTAGGGATGAAGAAGACGAAAACGAACAAGAATAACAAAGAGAATACATCGAGCACAACAGCAACGATTGAGAGCAAGCAGAGCAAGAAACGCTAGGAACCTATAATAAAGATCTCATTGAGTCCAACTGAACGAGTCAATGTCATTCGACATGAAAGAAAACGGGTCCGCACTCATTGGACTATTCATGTTCATACCCATGCCCATGCCCATGTTGTTCATATTGTTCATATTGCTCATGTTGTTCATCCCGTTCATGTTCATGTTCGGATTTCGCATCTGCTGCCCAGGTCCTGGCGTGGCGGACATATGCCGGGGCATACCTAGACCTAGATTGGAAGATGAAAGGTCGCCCGGATGGCCTGATCCTGGTGAAGGAGTGGGGAACGGATAAGAAGGGGAACCCATACCGCCACTACTGCCAGACCCAAATCCACCTCCTGCACTGCCGGGCGACGGCGCTCCCATACTTCCACCTCCACCTCCACCGTACCCGCCGCCATGTGCACTTGGAGGGCGCATGCCACCAGCCATCTGCTGCTGTTGCCAGTTTTGCATTTGTTGTGGGGTGAAGTTACCAGGCCCTGAACCTGACATCATACCACCTCTGGGTGATGGTCCCACGCTGCCACCCATCATGCGCGCGAACTCGTCTTGTCCCATCGAAGGTCCTCTCGCCGGCATCCGAGGAGTCATCGGTGATTGATTTCCAGGTCCAGAACCAGATATACCACCTATACCTATACCACCACCTCCACCACCTATACCGCCATCCGGCGGCGATCGCGCGCTCCTCGCAATGCCTGGAATAGCGGCATTCGACCGCAGCGCAGGGAAGTTGTTTAGATCGCTTCCAGGTATCATAGGCGAACCATTCCCACCACCGTGATGCGATTGCGTGGGGGAGATAGCACCTTGGGACATTCCCTGCTGAGCCTGTTGTTGCTGGCGCTGCTGTTGTAGCATAGCATACTGTTGAGAAGACATTCCGTTCATGTTGTTCATGTTATTCATAGGGTTCATGCCTCCCGATCCCATACTGCCACCACCGCGCTGCTGCTGCATCAACATAAGCTGCTGTCTTTGATTAGGCGTCATCGAGTTCATTCCCATATTGTTTATGTTGTTTCCACCCCCACTCATTCCGGCGCTATTTCCAGCGCTAGGCCCAGGGTTCATACCTCCCTGTCCACCGGCCAAAATCATTGGATTCATCTGAGCTTGTTGGGCCACAGGGGATATAGGACTGGTGTGAATAGGGAAGACACCGTTAGGTATACCGTTCATTTGCGGTTGAAGTGACTGCGGCGGTGATTGCTGTTGCTGTTGCTGCTGCTGCTGCTGAAGTTGTTGGTGGAGTTGTTGTTGCTGCTGCTGCTGCTGCCGCGATTGTAGAACCTACGATTGATGAATTAGCAGCTTCCAAAAGATAGATAACCGAAATGTCAGAAATGGATACAGAAATTCACCTGAAAAATACGTCTTGCTTGATCATGATACGAAAGGGAGCTGAAATTGGGTATCATACGATGCATATACTGTAATACCGGGTGAGGTGGTTGAATTTGCAGAAGCATATAAGCTTGCTGCTGCATTTGCTGTACGGATGATAAGCCTCCCCCTCCCCCTCCCCCTCCGCCAGGCACCACAGTGGATGGTCCGCTGTGATTTGACGATGTTGGAGATATTTGCAGATTAGATGATGCAGCAATGGAGGCGGAGGGTGGCGACATATGTCGACCACCTTGTTGGGGCTGAGGAGTAGAAGGCATTCCAGGCAGTCCGCCTGGGCGCTGCTGTTGAGCTCGCATGTTTGCCATCCTTTGTTCTCGTACTGCTTGATTCAGCTGCGCCTCCGACATGCCTGCATCGGGTAGAGAGCCGGTACCACTCATACCCTGACCAAGAGTAGGTGGAATCATGCCTGACATTGCACTGACGGAAGTCTGTGGGGCTATTGATATAGGCAACGAGCCGTTTCCAGTCGAAAGGGATGGGGAAGAAGAGATTCCATTTGACAGTTGATCTTGCAATGGCAACGAAGGCGGGGGCATCATCATACCATTGTTATTGACTTTACCCTCGCCTGTGTCTCGCCGCTTATGTGCCGTCATGTCAAGCGAACCTTCGTCTGTTCGTTCGCGTTTCAAGTGATTAAAGTTCATGCCCATGTGATTGTTGTTGGGTATACCTGCCCCCAGTGAGGGACGTCGAGGCATGATTTTTGTGAAAACGGAAGGAAGGTCGGCGTACAGCTGTTGTATTCGATCCATAGCAATAATGTCGATGAGTGGTGGTGCTTCCATCATGGGGTAAGTTATCGAGGATTGATTGCTCTGGTCCAGCAAACAATAAGGTCAAAAGATATAGATAGTTCAACGACACGTACCGGTCGGTCAGCTGCGGTCGCGAGGTAGTTGAGGTTGCTTTGCAATCGGGTTGAAAAGCTGACAATTTAGGTTATCAGGCGCTGGTAATCGAAGGGCAAGGAGATGGCTAAACTTACTGCTGAAATCGTGTGTCCGAAGGGCTCACTCCACGTGCCTGGAGTTCTAGTAAAATCCTATATAAGAGTATGATCAATTATCAGTTTTGTGATCGACCAGCACCGGAACGTACTTGAACAGTTCGGAATTCAGCTCGAGGATGGTAGCAACTTTCGGGTCTTTGCCGTTGGGATGGGACAAGGTATGGTTGGGAGAGGTAGAAGGTGAGGGAGCATAATCTGATGAGCGAGAGGGATACGGATTTGTTGATAAGGAGGACTTCTCTAAAAACTTGACCTCCACATCTGAATACTCTTTCTTTGTTATCGCATCGTCAGCGAAATTTTCCGGATCCTTGTTCTCGTCCGGCGGAGGGTCGTCGTCATCGGGCGGGGGTGAAAGCTCGCTCAGAGGCGTAGACTGACGAGACTCCTTGTCGTCTAGCAGCGGCTCTGCGAGAGCAGCTTCGTTATTGGAGGAATTCGTGGTTGGAGGAGGAGGGGAGCTGTGAGCTGTGTCAGGTATAGGAGACAGCGAAGAGCTGCTATGTTCTCTGTTGGGAGAAGCCGAATTTCCGTCGGCAGGACTGGCGGATGGAGAAGGAGCTTCTGGATTAGCGGCTATTGGCTGGTTGTCCTTGGGCGTGGTAGGCCCCGGAAGGGTTGTTTCCGGCTGGGAAGGGGACAAAATTCTGGCTGGCTTTTGCGGAACTGACTCGGCCCAATCCCGGAGCTGTTTCTCGACAGGGAGTACAAGATTTTGCTTGGAATGCGACGAAAGTACCGCTGTATGCTGATTCCGATCTACGTGTATCATTTGGTCCAGCAAAGTTGGTAGTCAAAAGGACGCTTTGACAGCGTTCTTGTAGAGCAAAAATCGACTAAGTATCGCTTTTTCCTTCGTGAACCACCCTCGTGGCTGGACTTGTACGATGAATGCAAATTTCGGAGGGAGGGTAAAACAGTTATTGGTTATGCTCAACGACTGCTGACTGTGCGAAAACACTTCCTTAAATGGATGTACAAGCCAAAGGGTGGTCGTCGAAAGTTGAACAGTCGTAGGGGAAAGAACACCTGAGCTCAGCATATTATCTTCCACCATGACAGTAATGGAAGAAGGGATCGGCAAACTGCCTTTATCTTTTGGTGATCCACCCGCCGGAATCGAATCTGGATCGGCGTTACTTCCTTCTCGGCCATTTTCAGATTGTGTCAAGCATTGTGTATATCTCTATTCGCCCTGTCTTCCATTGCCAACAAACCGAAAAAACGTCTCATGATGCTATTTTGAGCTAGTTACCCTTTCCTTCCATCTAGTGAAGCTCCCCGCACAGATGTCTACAAATTTTGATGCGCGAATGAAATTTCCTGTGTATTCCCATGATGATATCCCGTTTCCCCTGATTCCAAGGAACCAGTCAAAGTTAGACTTCAGACAAGGATCCAGGAGCAGCAGGTAACCATTATCAGGAATCCAAACTCATACTTATCTGGAATTCGAAACCCGTTTTCCGTTTTGAGCGGGATCCTGTACTACCCGATAATAGTCGACTAGCCGCGGATTTCTCTCATGATCAACTCGTCGCTCGATTTCTTGGTTACGCATGAGTATAATACACAGCATATATGACTACGATTCTGACCTACGTACGCTTGATTCACTTTAAATCTATTCAAGATTGCAGTTAGTACTTACCCTGTCTTTCGCCATCGGGATAGTTGATAGATAGAATAGGGCTATAAGAGAACCAATGACAACGACGATGCGAGTCGAAGACGGAACCGAAGTAATGGTCGTCGAATGTTATTTTTGAAGACTCGAAACATGCGTACCTTTGTAGCCTGCGATTAGGCACCTCAGCAACATGGACTATGGATAATTTCCCGAGTCTGGTCCAGTCTTTGAGCAAGCTTGTATCGCATGTGAGACCTTCAGCACGGGAATGGTACTCAAAATTGAAGAATTGAATCAAAATTGCCATTGGTCAGATAGGAAGTTCGACCTCGCCAATTCTACCCGTCTACCCTGTCCGTTGTACGATGGGCGGGTAGGCACGCAACTACTAGTAAGACAGGTTTGAATATTGGTACCTCCATGAGGAAGCCTCAGGCAAATAACCATTTCAGACTACCACTTCTAGCTACCTCACTGCCAGGCGCTCGGTTCCGGGAATAGATTGATTGAATGGGAAAAAAGATATGATGAAAACAGCCTGGAGTTAGTCGGATGAATGAGATACTAGGGCAGAAGAGCTTTTGACTATTCACGAACAAGAAATATCAGGAGAGCTAATGACCGTGTTTGGTATATGGAATTGGAAGCACATGCCATCGATCGAATCATCAAGGACCTACCAGACTGGGGTCAGAATCAAATAGAGTCTAAGGATAAAGAACATACAAAACAAGGGTACTAGTTCTTGACTTATACACATGCATTGTATCATGATGCAGAAATCCCAAATTGTATGACCAGCATAAGTATCCTTGTGCGAAAATTCTGAGTTCGAACGGATGAGGCGATGTTATGCTATTGCGGCGCTGGTCACTTCCAAGAATTCTTTGCGTACTTGAGCTCGGAACTCCGCATTACAATTGACGAATGATTCCTGAATAAGATTTCAGCACTGAGAACAGAAAGGACGTAGTCTCGAGAATCCGTCGATGACCTGCGATCGCAATGCGAAAGTATATATATTAAATATCTGAAAATCAATATATAACACACAGGAAAGCAGGGGAAAACATCGACTCACCTACAGTCAACAGATACTCAAAAGATACATACTGCGTTAGCAAAATGTATACGATATACTTATAACTTACACTTACTAGGCTGTGCTATCATGATGTAGTGTTGGGTGGAGTGACAGCACAAACGATAAGTTGAAGGCCTGATGAACGTTTTGAACCGATGTAAGTATGTGCAATCAATATCAATCAAACCTCGTGTGACCTTACGTCAGCTACTGGTACATAAATCGTCCATCGATTTCTTTTCCTTTTTTCATCCCGTCACCGTAGACTAAAAGCCGCGACACTCGTCCCGTCCAGAACTTAAACAGTTCTCTTTCGCGAGTGGGCTAAGGTCTGAGTATATGCTTCCTTGATCGGCTCTAGCTGGGTCTGGCTATAATTTTGCCACATGACTTATCAGAAAATCGCCCGATAGCCCTCTTTTCCGGAGACCTTCGTATTCGTACGGAGCGAGGATATAGGGACTTCGAGCTTGGAAATTGTCATGAAGCTTGGGCGCTATTACTTCTTGATATCTCTTCCTGTATTCCTCTTCCATACACCAGGTGCTCCTAACTGGAGTGCGGGTTGGCTCTAGATCAGTGTGGTGTTGCCACCCGGCCTTCTTTTTCGCATTCATCTTCCGGTGGATGTGGAACAGCTAGTCAATGTCGTATTCTGCAGGTACTCGTTCGCGAGGAAATTTGCACAACGCATACGTGGCCTCCATGTCCGTATCTGGACCTCGCTATTATGCTACCACAGGTGGTCTCTTGCTATATACCGGTTTCCCGGTCGTTCGCCTCGCATAGGCATCTATCGCGCCCACAGTTGGCCATTCCCTGCTTGCAGCAGCTCTGCACATATACGCATACGTATACTCCCCTGTTGGTCCTGGCTCACAGCCTTGTTTCATACCCCATGGTTGGGTTTACCACGTCCGGATGACCCGGTCCATTGAACGCTAGAAGCGTCTTTGACCTCAGAACGATGTTGATCCAAGTATGGGAGGAATCAGGGTTCAAAGAGGTGTCAGAATGGTTGCGTCCTTTAGTGCACTTCGCGGCATACGGTTGGCTTTGGGGCTCATCGTAAGATGGTCCTCCCACTACTTCCGTGTAACTCGATTCAGACTACTCTTGGTCTACGGTGATCTATCATCAAATTTTTTCCTTGCCTTCCTCTCTTCGGAGAGGTATGTTAATGAAATTGAACCGATTAAAGTGAGTCTGTTTTCTTTCATCATGCATATGTTTCATAATTATTTGAGCAGGTCATTGGAAGTGGAATGCAAAGGTTTGTTCATTTGTTCGACGGCAGTATGTTCAATATGATTTTTGATACCATCTAGTTACATAAACAGTAAATGTTCACTGCATAATGTAAGTACGCAGCAGGTATATAGCGTTCTTACAAACATGAATGATTCGACTTGGCATACACACGGGCCACCATCAGGATACCCATGGAGAGCTGGAGGCGTAGCGAATGGATTGTACAACTGCTTATCTTGAATGGTATCGAGTAGTACGTATGTTCTGGGGTAGTTAACTTTGAGTATCGGGAGAACTAGACTGCATCGTATATAGACAAAATAATGATTGATACAGGTATGAACATACAAATGCACTGTGGTACAGATGCCAATAAATGAATCGCAATACCCACCAAAATCAAGAAAGATGCAATGCAATGAAATATAAGGCAAAGAATGCCTGCTGGTACGCAAGAAAAGCTATGGCAGCTGACAGAAAAAAATTACTTGTGCTCAATCGCTACTGTGTTCATGATTGTCCCTTCGCGTCAAGGATACACCTTCCATCCGACTTCTCTTGCGTTCTTCCAATTGCTGGCTACACGAAAGCCACGCAAACCACATCATGGTCTTGAGCTGTAAAACATCTTCCTTCCACACATTGCTCTGATTTTGCTCCCTGAACTCTTGGGTAAGCTGCTCGCACCTTTGGACATTCTCCGGTGAGACAAAGTCTACGGCCACTTTGATACAGTCGGCAAGGTTACAGACCTGAAGAAAAAAGAGTTCTACTACTGCGAAAGGTTCGAGCATGAGGATACCTACCTGATGAGCGCAACCGGCTGGGATAAAAACTGCTTCCCCAGGCCTTTGATAAACTCTAAAACTGTATACACCCCACTCTTCCGCCAATTCCTTCCTCATCGTCTCATCCAAGTACACCTGTTGTCCATGAATAGGATCCATTGTAAGCGCTCCAGGGAATTTCTTCTTGAGGTACCCCCGAAGTTTAGCTGAATCTTCCGCACTAAACAGATCCCAAGCAGCGCATCCAGTTGAGCCGTCTGGGCAGTCCGCCGCATAGGTCATGACGTTCACTGCATCAGCCATATCCATGTGCAGTCGGGTAGAGCCTCTAGAGCCGCTGTCTTGGTGGGACGCCATCGCATTATACATTTTGGGACCTGAATAAGATTAACAGACAGAAATCTATCGAAAAACCAAGATACTCACCCAGGTCGGGTGCAAGGGCATTGTGCGGAAAATGAGACGCAATATTTAACGTTCCGTCTCGTCTGACGTAGTTAGGGATTGGGACTGCCTGTGAAAAGTCCTCGTATAGTTCTGGAAATGTCATCTTGAAATCCGCCGAAGGGGGCCAGTCTTTGAGCTTCCATATCTCGCTCTTCTTGGTACCAAGACGATCTTCATTGTCTGGTGCAGGAAGAAGGCTGTCCTGAGATCCAAGACTAATTTCCTCGAACATTGGACCATTTTCTCTACCTGCATATTTCCCAAATTTTGAGAAGAATTGACCCACAGTGACACGCCTGTTTACGTCCGTTTGGCATTCGATAATCAGACAACCTTGGTCGCCGTACTCTTTTATGAAATATTCGGGCGTCCAGCGAATGCGGAAACGCTGACTTACATCCGTGACCAGGATGGGAGTGCCTTTCCTCCAGTTTTTCCGGAATATAGTTTCAGTGAGAGCGTCAAAATTATATGTCGGAATAGCATGCAATGGGATATCCGAGCGGTGAGATAAAGGTTGATAGAGACTTTGGGATGATGTACCCGAAGATTGTAGATTTATTTGGGGAAGGACATACGGAGATGACGTCGGCTGCAGCGTAGATGACGAGTGGTCTGGGAGTGACTTCGAGTTTGAGTATGAATGCCTACCGTATTCGGATTCGTAAGGCAAACCTTGAGTGTGGGGAAGCTCAGATAATCGAGTTCGATATTGTTCTTGGAGAGAATATTGGATTTGGTCCCGTTGATTGTAGCCAATGCTCGAAACTAAAGGGAGATCTGCATGTGCAGTCTGTAACTGGGAAACGTATGGCTGCTGAGCTAGTTGTTGATAGGGGCGATATGGCTGATGGTAGTATGATGGCTGCGCCTGGTATTGGTGTCCATTAGTGTACGACCTTTCTTTTTCGACATTCAGAGCCGGAATAGGAACCCCAATCTCGGAAGGGGTACTAACACCCGTGCTGTCTGATGGACTCGAGCTCGTGTAATTCGGCTCTCTATTTTCTCCTCGTTCATCCAAACATTGACTCTCCTCCCCCTTCTCTTGTTCCTCTTCTCTCAGGACCGCTTCCATGTCCCGTATAGCTTCGTCTAACTCTCGTAAACAAAACCTTGATACAGGCGTGAATTCTGCCGCTCGATGCTCCGCTCTTTTTGTGCAACTAAGAAAGAATGGCTTCGAGTGGTTTTGTTTTTCTTTGAGAGACTGTTGTGCAGCAAGACGGGAAGCTGCCAGCTCTAGAGAGGCGGGTGAACCAGAATTTGGCAAATCAACGTTAGGATTGGAAGTGAGCGCAAGAACTTCTTCGTAGCAATCTGAGCAGGATTCACGACCACAGAGACGACACATCCAAGAGCAACAGAACAGAGAAGTCATACAAGTATCTGCGGAAGCCCTGAGAAATATTTTTATATGTAAGTCTTCGACACTTACCGCAAGTCGCTCGCACATCACTTTCCCGAGGTCGGTATATGATTTGCTGTGTATTGACGTGCTTTCTTTCTTGAAGTAAAATGGGTAACACTTGCTTGGCCGTGACCCGCTGATAGGGGATAGTTAGTCAGTTGGATGCAGATATAACTGGAAAGCGCAACCTACCATCGTCCACTGTATATCCTTGTCGGTTAATCCCACATTCCACTTGTTCGGAAATTCCATGGCAGGCTTTTCCGCTTTCTGATTATTCACAAAGCTCATGCCAACAACTTCCTTCTTCTCGTTCTTCATGAATATGCGAATACCTTGAAAACGACAAGTATCTCCCGCCCAGCGACGAGTACAGGAAACGCATCGAGGAAAATCTTCTGGTTTGTATTTAGATGACATACATCTGGCAGTTTGGAGCTCCGGAGTCAATGTAGCAGCGCCGAAAGCGGGATTCTCTTCTGCTTGTAGCATTCGCATACGATCTAACAGGAGGAAATGAGATGAATTTGATGCATAGGTCCACAGTAAGTTCATCATACTTTCAGAACTTAGTTCTTTGTCTTTCCCTGGAACGTACGTTACACCTGGGACGAGATAAGCTGTGGACAAGGTGTAAAAATGGAGGACTTTCCAAAAAAAAAAATATCACTGACCATTTTGGGCCTGTAAAGCCGCAGTTTCGCTCCGTTTCTTCTTTGTAAAACCACGTTTAGATGGAGCTACTATACGTGAATGAGACAATTGAACTGAAAAACATGTCACGTAGACACGCACTCGGCGGTGGCTTCTTAGTTTTTTTCGGCTGTGACGAATTTATAGTTCCTGGTGGTGTGGCTCTCTTCCTCGAAGGTTCCCCTTGGGGTTGCTGATTGTCAATGCTAGTCGATGAATATGGATTTGGGGCAACAGATTGTTGAGCTAGGATTCGCGGCGAAGCACGCTCTGCAAGCTGCAGATGTGAATGGGGATTTTGTGCTGATTCAGAAAACATAGAAAGATGGTTATGGTTGTGGTTCAAAAGCGCGTCTGGGCCGACATGAGGCGCCTCATTTGGGTAATCGCGATCAGCTGGAAACATTGAGCGACCCTGACTCGAACGTGTTTACTAAACTCACCAGTTTGTTCAACGATGTACTCTGGATTTCTGCTCCATTGTTCCGCCATATTATTGGTATAAAATCCAGCTGTATATCCGTGTGATGTCAATGTGTCGCCGTTCCTAGGATTCCACGGCTGAGACGAATGCTCAAAACGAAGGTTAACGTCTCCGTAGTTCTGATATTCTATATGTCCATGAACTGGATACCCTGCTGGTCTTAAACCCTGATCTCGGGCTTCAGCTTCAGGGTTCAGTATTTGCGAAAGTTCGGTCTTCTTTTGGGAGATCTGCGACCTGTTCATTGGCATATGAGATTGATGAGTAACTGACATCCTGGATTGGGCGTAAATATATTATGCCAGAGGTTCGACGACGAAGAAAACAAAAAGCAAGCTGAAAGTCCAGTAATAAGTATGAACGAAAGAACGAGTTTGCATCAATCGATTTGGCACAAAACGAAAAACACAACTGATGGTTTAGATGTCCTGATCAATCGGGCTTTCAATTTTATGTGTATGCATGTATACCGTACCGCCCGACGCCGACACCCAATCTAAGTACTGGTATGTCCACTTCGATTCTTCTGTAATTCAGCTCTAAGGGAATATACTGTGCCTGCATCATTGAATTCCAAATTCTCTCATCTTTGTGCGCCTCTGGGAAATGCACTTCATTAGGAATGTAATCCGAAAAGCCCTGAAGAGCCTTCACCTGCCTGTATAAGCTGACTCTACAAACGATCAAGGAAAGTGTGACTTGCGGCGAGACTCTCCTGTAACTCTATAGTTTGGGGCCGCTCTCATTAGCCCCAAAGCATGAACAAGCTCATTCGGCAGTCTCTGCACCTGGAAAAGCGGTAACTCTCGGTAAGTTGTCAACCTATATCTGTTCGTTGGAATTCAAATGCAGCGGGAGTAGTATGTATGTACCGTATCTGCTATTACTTATGATGTGGAATTGTGACAAACAGCGAAAAACAGTGAGATCGTGACTTCTTGAAGATGATTCCCCAGTTTTGAAGATGAGGGGACGCATGCAAGGCAATGCAAGTTTATATGTGGCCCTCATTTGTTCCTTATTAGTCTTTCCGTACGGTCCGGAGAAAATGTGTGCTTTAATCATAGCAGAACCCGCTATAGTATTCTCATTGGCATATAGTCAACTGATATTGTGTGCCTCAAGTTCGGAACTTTTCTATGGATAGTATAGAAAGTTACATCGAGGTTCTATTTTTCAGATAAGAAGAACCCCCACTCGTGCCAGGTCGTTACTGTATGCACTACTAAGGAGGTTTCGCGAGGAATCCTCGTCGTTCTGAGATAGTACCGTTAGTACATCTCTTGAAGTTCTTAGTGTATGTGTTGCATTTCGAGAAGTCCCCGAATTGGGATCTTATGGTTACCGAGGTATGTATATATCGTAGGATTCACTCACGAATAATACAAGCAATTTTGAATGTGTCAAGGATCGGATTGGGTTACTGACCTCCAATTTTGCGGAATCGTATTTGGATATTTTGGAATGAAAGCCCTCACATCATCGAGACCCGTGAAGAGCATGGTAGATGTCGAACGCCAGGCGTAATTATTCAAGTCTTCAGAAAGGCTTCATAGGCTACATGTAAATCATCTTCACAGAGACTATTTTTGACGGACAGGCCCAAAGTTCCCTGCATGGTCGGACGATAACATCATGATGTATGTTTCAATGAGTATGTGCTGGTATGCAGTGGTGTCTATAAGGAACTCGTGTACGACCGATCGTCGAAAAAAATATTCTCCGCTATAGTGAGGGCTGCAAAAAACACGCCATCGCCATGATCAGGAAAGATCAGTAAGTAGTTTGTTTGCATCAGGGGTATAGCTTACGTAGGAATTAGAATGTTGAGAGAAGAAGGCGCCCCGAAATTCCAATGGCTGCATTTGAACTTTCCTTGACCGAAAGTATCTCACCCAAGAACGGCCAAGAACCAATGGTAGATTCTTTTCATTTCAAATAAGTAGATGTGTTTAGTTACTTTGTGCATCCGGGAAGGGAGGGATGGCAGGCTGCGGTGTCAGGCTAATACTGTCAGTGTGGTCAGAAAGAGTGTGACATACCTTGGGCTAGCAAATTGTTGCACACCTGATAAGGACAGTGACACTAACAAATGATCATGTTCCGTGGTCTAGTATTGAAGATGTGACACCCGACTGGCGAGAGGAAATCATAGATTCAAATGACTCCGAGATCGAGAAATGAACCCACTTATACCATTCCACCAGCCAAAACACAAAACCCGGGACCGCTGGTGCACTATGATCACGCTATGGCTACGTGGGTTTTGGCTTGCAGGTTGAAGGAGAAGTGGACTTGGTCTTTCCTGGCGGCCTGTCTTCCATTTACAGGCAGAGTGTGGAAGTACCTTGACTATATATTTTCACTATTTTGCAGCCACTATTGTGAGTCCAAGCACTGCCCCCAGCATTTCACATACACGTATTAAAAGGTATTAAAAAAACCCTAAGATGATGGTGACTCACCAGGTCTCACCTTTAGCTATACCATCCCAAACGGGAATATGACCTAGAACCGAGGAATGAAGAGGTGCGATGGACAAGATACACACCTAGTCGCCCCGGCTCTCTAGCACTTAGACTTACCTACTTGCGATTAATAAATAGTTCTTTTTAAAAAAACGAATGATCTATGTACGGTAGCCACAAACCTGGGCGCTAAAGCACTAAGTGTTTTGGCGCTCATTACTTCCACGTGGGTTTACTCAAGCATTTGTAGACGAGAGGTTGACTCTGAAATCAGCATCCAAGTCTCCTCAAGCTCAAAAAAGTGAGAATCTTTCTCTATCTTGCTCAAAGACGCCCAGATACTGCCCCAGGATGTTACTGGGATGCCATTCCTGGAACTTGGAAGAAATTGGTTTGGTTTGGGAGCTGGATTGTGGACTTGGGGAACAGATGTCACAATAATTGTGTTTCGATTTTCTCATTCCGGACCTTTGAACATATCCCAACCGTTTGCTCACGCCTTCCATAGGATAATATGGGTCGGGTTATTCGTGCACAGAGAAGGTCGCATGCCATCGTATGTATATCTTTAATAATCAACCCAATGTAATCCGATTTCCTGACAATATTCAAACAGTTTAAATCCCATACCCATCATAACAAAGCTCCAGCCCAGCTGAGGAAACTGGATTATGCTGAACGAAACGGCTACATCCGTGGAATAGTAAAAGAGATCATACACGACGCTGGACGGTAAGTCTACTTTTTTTTGTGAATTCTTGTCGGATAATTGAAGAAAATTATAGTGGCGCCCCTCTTGCCCGTGTAGTATTCCGCGACCCCTACCGATACAAGCTTCGCAAAGAGACCTTCATCGCCACGGAGGGTCTTCACACTGGTGCTTTTGTTTACTGTGGAAAGAAGGCACAACTTGTCGTTGGAAACGTCCTCCCCATCTCGCAATGCCCTGAGGGTACCATTGTCTGCAATGTCGAAGAGAAAGTCGGCGATCGGGGTGCTTTAGCTCGGACGTCTGGCAACTACGCAACCGTCATTGGACACTCTCCCGATGACAACAAGACGAGAATCAGGCTACCATCTGGCGCGAAGAAGACTATCTCAGGTGGAGCTCGCGCTACCGTCGGTATTGTTGCCGGGGGTGGACGTATCGACAAGCCTTTGCTGAAGGCCGGTAGGGCATTCCACAAATACAAAGCTAAGCGTTACAAGTATGCTTTTCCGTCAATAGATTCAAGAAATGATTGTTAATGTCGAATTTACAGCTGGCCTCGTACTCGTGGTGTCGCTATGAACCCCGTCGACCATCCTCATGGTGGTGGTAACCATCAGCACATTGGTAAAGCCTCCACCATGGCTCGCTCTGCTGTTCCGGGTCAGAAAGTCGGTCTTATCGCCGCTCGCCGGGTATGTTGTCACCATCTTGTTCTATTAATTCACCGTTGCTCATCATTTATTCCTTAAGACTGGTCTGTTGCGTGGTACCGTCAAGGTCAAGGAGGTGTAGGTGGATGGGTGTCTGTTACGTCATTATACTTCTCATGTCATTCACTACTTCGCAAAATATGTATGCATTTATGGCAATACCTATGCTCTCTGTGCTCTGCTTTTAAGTGACTCACCTGAACGCAGACAAAGCAAACGTTAGGCAGATATCAGTGCTTGGAGAATTCTCTACTCAACAAATATTTGCCGACCCCAACCCTAATGCAATATGAATCCTAAGAATTGGAGCTATCCACCACACATAATGACCACAACCGAAATAAACAAAAGCCTAGCTGGCCATGGAGTGGAGAGGAGAAATATGAAATATGCATGTATTGATGTGTAATGAATGGATAAGAATGTATCCGAAAACTGCCCAAGCCCAACGTGTATTATGCTGAGAAGTTAAGAGGAAGTGAAAAAGATGGCCAGTGTACATTGAGATGATAGAAATTGAATGACGATAGGATAAGCATAGACAACTCAGAATTTACACGCCTGTTACTAGAGCTTCTTTTTGCTCGAAGGGATTTGAATGCGCCAGAACTGGGCAACCCTCTGACAGATCAGGAAAAGCCACAGTAGCTCGATCCATCCAAAGGCCGCCCAATCCCGTCATGGCGGCACCACCACAGAATCCTCACGCACGTTACCACTTTGGGTATATAGCTCTATGCATCCTCCGGGAACGTTCAATTCCAACCTCAGGTTAGCTGCGTCTTGGGTGTCCGCAACCTTACTCTTCTCGTCGTCCCCCATTGTTGCCGGAAGCAAAGGAGAACCGGGCGTAGCTGGTGTGGTTGGAGAGGGTGAACGTGACACTGAAGAAGCTAAAAAGTCGTTAAACTAGAAAACCATTGAAAGGATAATGAGACATACTAGATCCGCTTTCACGAACATTATCTGAGGAAGCCACTTCGCCACTCTTCAAACGGAAGATATCACCTTGTTTCAGCGTGCTAGTCGAAGCGTTGGGATCAAATCTCGGTCTATTGCTAATAAAACCTTGAACAAATAGTGAGCATATTATAGAGAAAGACAAGAACTAAATCGAGGAGAAAGCAACACACCATTTAAGTTCTCCGAAGACGGCGGTTGCAAAGAAGATGATATACCGGTGGCAGCAGACGGGGGACAAACCGTAGTAGGCGTTGATTCATCTGGGAGATTTTGAGAATCATGTTGCTCAGGAGATTTGAGACCGAGGTGCGCACGAAAAGAGATCACAGCCGACGCCTGAGGAGGACTCCACATAGCAGATGAGGTACCAGAACGAGGTGAAGGACTCTGAGCTGGAGCAGATGTAGGCGAGGGCACATGTGTAGTGGGTAGCACAGCAGGAGACTTCGGGGCAGGAGGGGAGGGAGGTGTCTTCCGGCCCTTGGGTACATGTAAGCGGTCAGCAATGTTTTTGGCCTGATCGGTTTGCGTCTTAACAGCTTCCGTGGTCATATCGGCATACATTGAAAGAGCTTTGATGGATCCCCACTCTATCAACTTGTTGTTTAGCCACTGCAACGAGACCGGCTTGGTCAGAAAATCATTGCATCCTGCTGCGAGAGCAGCAATACGATCACTTTGTAGAGATGAGGCTGTCAAAGCCACAATGATGACCGAAGAACGATAAGGTGAAGCAGCAGAGGTTCTCGAGTCTGTATCGTCTGATAGTGCAGAAAACAGTTCCTCCAATTCAACAGACGGAGATGGTTGTATGTAACCGGAATTGACCCTCTCAATGTTACGAATCGCTCGTGTCGCGTCAATCCCGTCCATAACTGGCATTTGAATATCCATCTGCGATTAAATCAGCTACAGCACCAATCAACTTGCCGATAAGAATTTACCAATATTAAATGAAACTCTCCAGTCTTCCACTTTTCTACTGCTTCTTTGCCGTTCGACGCGACGTCGTACTTGATTTTATTCTTCTTCATGAAGGTCGAAAGGATAGTGCGATTGATAGGATTATCTGTTACTTGGAGTTAGTTGGAAGCCCTGAAAAGCGTGAATTTCATACCATCGACAATCAAAACACTGATAGGTGGAACTATGTTTCCTTCGGCGGGAGACTTGCCCTTCTTACCAGTCACTATGGGAGATAAACCTTTGCTATCCAATTTCGAGCGTCGAGTATTTCGGATTGCAGTCGAGTCAACTAGTGGCGAGCCGGGGGGCGAGACATGTAACATTCCTTTCCGTGAACCAAAATCGATACTAGTTTTCCTAGGAGTTTGCGGCTCTGAATGAGGAGCCTCGGACGTATCGGTATGCGGCGACATAGTGCTTCTCGAGTTTTGGCGAGACGGAATTTGAACATTCACTCTAATCCCACTAGAACGCGGAGAGGACTCTGCAGAAGCTGCATGATCTAGATGCAAAGAAGAGAATGTGACCGGAGGTCCTTCGACTGACGATGAAGATCGTCTCGTTCCTGACACAACAGAAAGATGTCCACGATCTCTCTCCATTCCATAACTAGAGAACATATTCGTTTTCTCCGCACGAGGTGAAAAGAATATTCCGGTCGGTTGGCCATCGGGACTCTGGAGAATGACTCCCGCGCGCGCAGTATCACCAAGCTTCACCGAGGTCTCTCCAAGTCTAGAAACAGTCTCCGAGAAGTACTCTGAAGACTCCTGCATGCTCAACGGCGACGGTGGAAGATTGACATGATTTTCAAGAATGTTGTTGACGGACCTCGATGACCGGTCCGAATTGGAACGGGAGCCCGAAGGACGGTGAACAGAAGGTGTCCTTGGACTGCCACTGTGGTGATGTTGTGGCGAAAAGAAAGAACCGCCTCCGATCGTATATGGACTGTTTGGAGTTGTAGCGATAGGCGAAAAGAATGGATCGACAACGGGTTTGGTTACCGCGGTGTGAAGTAGCGTCAAAAAACGCCGGGGACCAGCAGGTTTCGGTACAACCATGATCTCCGGGAGGGGCAATAATGTACCTCTATACGAATTGAGCACAGACTGCACTACATCTTTCGTCACTTTATAGTTTGCAAGACTGGTGAAATGCAAGATAACGACCGGGGCAGCGTTTGCACCCGCAGACATACGAACGACTTGGGGAGACGATCGAGGTCGATGGTGTGCAGCAAGTGATGGTCGTTTCCTGGAATTTAAATGCAGAGGATATACCTGTTCTTCTTTGATAGCCTGAACACGATCCTTAAGAATATTCACGTCATCATCAATGAAGATGAAAGAAGCAGGTTGAGATTTGGGTTGTTGTGGAAGTTCCATTTTCGGGGGTATGCCAGAAGGCATGTAGCCTTCGATATTCGATGTCGCAGTAGGACTTGGAGGTTGCTCAAGAGCATTTTCCACACCGCCTTCTGACGGAATGTGACTGACATCCATACCCCAAGCGGTCAGATAGCTCGTCAGATGATGGGCAAAAGATCCCTTTGAGCTAGCGTACAGATGTACCTTTTTCCCCTTGAGGCTGTCAACAAATGTTGAGAGTTGCTCAAGTGTAGGTTCACTAGTGGAAATGCTATTATCTTCAGTAACGGTGGCGGGTGTTTGCTGGGGCGATATCCCGCCATCGAGGACGAACGACAATCGGCAACTATGCCCTATCTTCAGGGGGCCATCAAAACTCGGTTTGTATTCCGATAAGGTGGCGCCAACTGTAACCAATAGTCGCCGGAGATTGAGGGATGTAAACGAAGGTTCGTGTCGTGAGAGGCCCTCCGAAGTGCTGGCAGGTGAAAACCTGTGGAATATTTCTATTGTGCAATGAAACGGGCCTTCGCCTTCCAAATGCAAGGCAGTGGACCTCAGCACGTCGGCGTCAACAGAGTCAGAAGATGAAGAATTTTGTCTTCGGGTAGATGGTGAACGATTAACGAAAAGGCCAATTTCGATGGTGTCGCCTCTCTGGCATGTGGTAAGGACCTGAGTTATGAGCTACATAGAATGTGGGTCAGTAGCAGAGATGGATTCGAGCGCAGCTTACTAGTGACAGAAGATAACGCATTCCGGATTCATCCCCCCGTACCCATACATGCCTTAAAGCCACATCTCCATGAAACAACACTAAATCTACACCCACCTGAGCAGCAGATGCACTTAGCGCATCACCGGTGCACTGCAAAAGCTCTCCAATGTCGAAATCATCGTGTTTCTTGGAAGAAGAGGACGGTGGCGTACTTTCCGAATGCTGCTTTTCCGCAGCAAATTCGACCATGTTTGCAGCAATGTAATTTAGATTCTTCATGGCAGTGAACATGGCCGACATGGACGGCGTCGGAACAGACAAAGCGCATGCAGAGAACTGTTCCTTTGCAGGATCTAAGAGTTGTGCAGGGCTGATTTGAAGCATCGTTTGAATGACCGTTTGCACCGAATCAGCGAGTTCAAGAGACAACTCGGTGAACGGGTGCGATTGCGGTGAGACGGGCTCGGAATGAATGGGTTTCATCAGCGAAGATAATGAAGATCTGTGAGGGTGTTTCAAATGGCCAAGTTGTGAGGGAAGTGGAAGAGAGAAGGCACGGGAAAAACGAGGATGATTCTGTATTGGTGGGCCTGGTAGAATTGGTCGTAGTCGAGGAATAGATGGTGAGTGATTGGCATCAAAGGTGTCTCCATTTTCCCTCTCTTGACCCGAGTCATCATCATCTGAACTGTCTCCTCCTGAATCCGAAGAGCTCAATGCTGGTCTGTCTGAAGAAGTTGGTGTCGAAATGGGTCGGCTCGGTTCAGATGGGGAGATTATGCTAAACTTATTGAACGGTGCCATGTCGAGGACGACGGCATCTTGCACCAAGTGCTCCCCATCGGCTTCCCCTGCCAATGAAGGTCCAGCCTCCGTTAATTTGCCTGAGTTCGAAGGTAGCATGACATTCAAAGCGCCCCAGGATGATCCGATAGGAGACTATGACAGCCAAGAAGATTCCACCGCGAACAGGTTTACTTTTTAAACCTTTCACCCAAGAAAAGTCGAAAGAGGTGCGAGGTCGGACAAAGAGGGAAGGAATAGAGTGAGCGCTTGGGCGCCTGGGCGCCTGATAATTACATAGACTAAATTCAAATGACGCCAAACAACAATCTCAGTTTTATGTTGTTAATTGTTAATGTATATTCTCAGCATTCTTTTGCTAGGTATGTAAAGAAAACAGCGTAAAGACTTTTTAGTACATATATCAGATCCCAGTTTCATATAAAGAGAACAGGAAGAAATATTCAGTAAGCATCATCAATAAGTCAGCTCGACATCGCCCTACGAACAGGAAGTAAGCGATTGAGATGTTCACCCGAAAGCCACAGATAAAACATACCTCGGCAACCAAGTCCATGTCATGGTAACTAACACGACGACCAGCAGCGGCTCGCGGATCTTCCTTTGCATCTGGCGGAGGCGGGGGCGGTGGACCGGCTGATACCTGACCACTAGTATTGCGTCGACGTACTCCGTTACTATTACCCGCATTCAAAGCCGAGTCCAACGCCGCAGGAGGTTTCGGCGGGAGACCCGCATTCGCAGGAATGTCAGCAACGAAGTTACTGATACGCTCACTCAGTCTTCGACTGTTGCTGTCGTCTCGTCGTTGAGAGAGGCTCGGAGGGTAGCCATCATATAAACCTTTGCCGTAGTCACCCCAGTAACCATTCCCAGGGGGTGGATAGCTTGCAGGAGGGTAAGGCATTCGTCCGTAATCGCCAAAAGCATTCATGGGCGTTTGAATGCCAAAAGCCTGTGGTGGAGCTTGCGTGCTATTGCCCACGACTGTTGGTGGGTGAACAAATGGCTGAATCCTGTGCGGGTCTAGAGCAAAGTTGTTGAAATATGGTATCTGTGTAGGTGGAGACACTCAATGAGTACATTAGATGCATCATTGCATGAAAAGATTGATATACATCTTCAAGGGATTTAACAAGCTCAGGATGCTTGTTCGCAATATGCTTCTCTACAAAAGACGTAGCTTTGAATAGCTTTTGACAGGTCCTGCACCGGAATTTTCCTTCATCCTCTTGCTTGATGTGAGGCTCAACTACTTTTGAAAGCTCTCTTACAGACAAAATTCATCACTCCACATGTTGAAAACATTCACGAACGGTAACACTCACTCATCGTAGCTCTTCCCTCCGTAATCTCGGGGGTCAACCCCATTGCGATTGATCAGAAGCGCAACTTTTTGATCCAACCAGTCAAGCCAACGATCATCTATTTATCATAAGCAACGATAGAAGATATGAATGATAGAAACATACCACCACGGTCATTTCTCCCTCTGGATTCCTTCTTTGGATCCTTCTCTGCAGCAAGTTTCTCATCATCTTCACCCTCAGTCGTTACTTTGGCCTCACTTGACGTCGATACCTTGGGCAATGGCTTCCTCACGTGTTTCAGGCACTTTCGCTGCAACTCTTCGAGGTGATCGGTAACAACAGAGCAGTAGTAACACGCGTGGTACGCAGCCCGCAAGTATGCAAGATACAGATCCAATGATACTTCAGTCTGAGGAGGAGATGATCTCATGAGTGGGGGAAAATGTCAAGAAAACGATCAATGGTACCCTTTTAGTTTCATACGCTTCCTCATTTCCAACATCCACCAATCCTTGATCTCTTAATTCCGCCATGACTTTCTCGATCCGTCGTTCGACGGCGTCTGACCCTCGTTCTTGAGGCTCTTCTTCTTCTTCAACGTCTACATCAGCAGTCTCGGGATTATTTTCTTCCATAGGAACATCGTCTGCTCCTTCAGGCTTAGGTTGCGTGTTATCTTTGCTTGGCTTGAACTTGCGTAAGACCGCGGCCTCCTCTTCAAGCAAGCCAGCGAGTATCTTTGTATTGGCAAGATCCTTCTCCATACGTTCAGGCCTACTAGCGACATCTGGTGTGACACGTATCTTGTTGACGAAAGGCTTCATGGTGTGAGATACATGCAACTTGAAGCCCTCGATCTACCAGTTATTTTAGCAAGCCGTGAGATTTGACAGGCCCAAAACTCTAGTACTCACTCTTCGGTCCTGCAACTCAGACATCACCACAGTCATGTCCGCATCTTCAGTGAACCGCAACCACCCTGCGCGATAGTAATTTCGTTTTTGTAATGGGTCACCAAGAGCAAGATAGACATAGCCAGGAATGGATTTGCACGACTAGAGAGCACATAAGTTGCAATATTGAATGAGCAGCAAGTAGAAAGCTCACATCTTCCAACTTTACGCGACCAATATCCGGAGGAATAGTTCGGATCATGACCTGATTACCCTCTGGTGGAACAGCAATTTCCTCAGCGTTGTTCCAACGCCTGTTATCACTAGCCGATTTCCCATTTGTGTCCGCCCCAACTTCATCTTCGGCATCCATGTGGAACGGAATATCATCGTCACCAGAAGGCTTCAAAGCTTCTCCAAGCCCATCAATGTGAAGTTCTTCCCCATTAGCATCCTTACTTCCAGTCGATTCATTCGCATCGACTGACTCATTCATGTCTGGGTCATATTTGCCCGTCTCGAGGTCGAGTAAGAACGTATTCAGTCTGCCTTTCCATCCTTCCTTTCTTACTCTCTGACGGAGCTTTTGGAACTCGGGAGCAGGATCGTACTTTTCCCAGAACCATGGAGATTTTTTATGATGCTCAAACATGGTGTGAAGCTACATTACAGAAACAAACCGATTCAGTATTATATACATCAGAACGTTTGAACAATGCAGAACAATAGAAATGAGCGAAAAGCGGGCTATAGGACGACGCACTGCTATCAGAACTTAAAATAAAAATAGACACGAACCTGATTCGCAGCAAAGTCCTTCTTGTATTTTTCCCATTTGGATCTGATGCCATTGCGTGGTTTTGAGCCGTCGCCTGCCTCTTGTTCAGCAGCCTTGTCAGCATTATCTTCGTCCGTGGCCTGGTTTGGGAAAAAGTATCGGAACCACTCTGCATACTGACGTAAGTTCGCTGGATAATCAAACGTGTGCGGGTCCGGGGGAGGACGGCGAGCGGGAAACTGTTGTGAATGTCCCCGTCTTGGTGAAGAATTGGCGTAACCTCGAGAATGAGCATCTATGAGGATGGTTAAATAAACTCATAACAAAAGACGATAATTCAAACCAAAGTCGTCATTGTAGCGAGGTCGCGGATCGTAACGGTCTCTCTCGTATGGAGAGGGCGAACGTCGTCGTTTTCTGCTGTCTAAAACAGTCGTTAGCACTTCAAACGCAACCAAGAAGTGTACATACAGTCATCAGGACTACGGCTCCTTCCTCTGCGCCCATAGTCAAACCCAGCTCTCTCTCTGTCATACGCAGCCCAGGCACGATCCTTGTCATAACCATCCCAGTCGCGAGCTCCTAGTTCAGGAGGGTATTCGTACACGTTTTTCGGTTGATATGGGCCTCTCGGTGAGCGCGAACGAGAGCGCCGAGAAGGAATGGGATAGGACATCCTTAATTCTTCAATAAAAGAGAAAAGAAAGAGAAGAGGAAGGGAAGGAAAGGCTTATCAGAGCCTGAGACGAGGAGAGGTCGAGCATAGTGAAGCACAGACCTATTACGGATCTCGAACACAGCGTACGGTTCAATACGCAGATGGTCGGGATGAAGAGGACAGGTAGTCGAAAGTTAGGATCACGTATAGTTTGAAACTCCGACGCCGACCCCGCCGCAGCGGCTAAACTAAATCTTACACCGTCTCGGCTTCAAAACTTCGACTTGCGTTTTTCTTGGGTCGATGTCTACTCGTAATAGGCCCCAGGAAGCTCTACCAGAACAATGTTCGGCTGGGTGCCCCAAAGTACGCTTTGGATTTGTATAGCACTGAAACCACACTGGAAAGGAACTCACCCCAGACTCACCCTAGACTCGAGCTGATCAGTGCTGATCCTTCCTAGCTGATCATCACCATCGAGTGTTGTCACAAAACGACTGCCAGCAAAACTCACGAACGTACCGATTACGCCCCACTATCTGAAATGGACGTACGAAACTTACCTTGATTAATCGAAGCACAATTTGCTGGGAGTTATCTAGTCCAGAGCAGTCGAACTGTTGCCTACTGTTGCAAATTTATCTATGCCGAGATAGAAATCATCTGAATCGGCTGTTGGAAATTTCAGCTTTTCACCTGAAGTTCGTAATCGTGGGTATACTAGCCATGCTCGCATGAAACGTAGTGAGGTACGTATTGTGACTTGCGAGACTGTTGTGCATTCCTTACCGAACCGATGCTGCAATCCAGTCCGAGAGAAGGCAGCAGAGCTGTCTTCTCAGAGGATAAGATAAGATGTGGCGATGAGAGCGGGCGCTTACCGCTTTTGAACTACGCTCTCATCGTCGAAACTCACTCAAGATCGTTTTGTGATCCCACCCTCCCTTCCCTCTTTCACTCAAGTGTCCAGTCTTCTGACAAAGACGCTCCAGGCTCAGCCAAACCGCTTTTCGTGTGTTTTCCCACCCGAGCGGGGCTGCGCCCCAGGCAAAACCTCATCCTCTAGTTAAGAGCACTCGTTAGTGCTCTCTACATTCCCCAGTGAGCTCGGTTGAGCGAATCTTATCTTATCAATAGATATGGCATGATTGACAAGCGATGACAATGGATAGAGCGCACGCTCCAAGCTCTCAATGCTGAGCTTCGTTTATCATGTTTATCGTGCAAAACTCTACCTATGGAGGCTGAACCCAGGTTGAGCCTTTGCCTTTGTTCACCCTTTTAGTCTATTCTTCATTGATCAGAATTCCTTCAAAAGAATACTGAAAACTCATTTTCTTGATTCGGAGTAGCACATGATCCAATCGAGAAGAACTTCGCTTCTGTTTCCCAAATGTTCAGAGGGGCAAGTCTGGAGTTAATTTATGATACTATCACAAACACGTCTTGATCAGGCTTTCGGAATTTCTCATTGAACTTCTCCGGCCGATTGTCCTCAATTACACTAAGGTTCCGGTCTCGATTCGTGATGGACTACTCGGAAGCGCAAGAATGCCTTTTTTTCTTTCCCCGCGCATGGTCCTCAAATTCCCGATTCGGCACTGATACGCCGTCGAGGACGCTATATAGGACCAGCGCTTCGAGCTCCCGAGCATGAAATATGTCACGGCTTGACCCAAATAGCGGCCTGAAACACACTATCTCACAATCAGTTGGGTAGAGATTCCGGGAGGCTTTCTTCATTACTTCGAGCAGTACATACACTTTCTCATATCGCTGCTACGTCCGAACTACACATGGACGTTAAGGAGGCAAGCACAAGGTCAGGGAGGACTCCATCTATCCGTCACCATCTTCGCTTTGTCGCTCAACCTGTGTATCCGGTGCTTGACAATCGAACGATGATAAAGGTAAGTGACCTCAACCAATTGTTGGAGTGTCATCCGGATCCAAAAATCTTCGTAGAATGCTGCCAATAATAAACCATATGTACACTTCCTCTCGATTAAATTTCTGAAGCTCATCTGCAATGGCTTATCTCCTTCGAAGCGCATGGAGTACTCACACTCTTCAGGATTCATCGATGTGCTTCTCAAAATTTCAATCAGGAGCTATCAATTGTTGCACGTTGCGGTCCCGCAGGGTTCTGCATATGATTTTGTCGCCAGGAAACCTTCTCGAGAAGGCTATGGAGTACCGCAATAGACCAAACCCTGCTACACCCCGAAATCTGGGGAGTCTGGTATAAAAGCGCTGGGTCGAAGCTAGTAAATTCAGCGCATTTGCTTTTAGCACTCGTCTACTGTCTGCTACCTGCCATCCTCTGTCCTCTGCTGCTACGATGATGTTTACTACTGCTTTCCTCGTCCAGGCTCTCCTTGCCTCTGCTGCCTTTGCTATTCCTACCAGCAAGGAACGCGCGGCCTCTCGCCGAGCTCGTCGCTCCGGTGCTACCCGCCAGAGCAAGCCTGTGGACCGCATCACCAGCCCGACCTCAGAGGTCTCGAATGCCTCCTATGTTGAGTTCAGCTCTAACTGGGCAGGTGCTGTTTTGGTGGCTAGCACTGTGAGGATTATCCTCAGTTTGATTCTTACTGAAGCCTGGTTGCTAATATTCTGAGGTTCGAATAGGCGACCTACAAGTCCGTCACTGGTACCTTCACTGTCCCGACCCCCAAGTCTACTGGTGGAAGTAGCGAGGAATGCGCTACCGCCTGGGTTGGAATCGACGGTGATACCTGTGACACTGCTATTTTGCAGACTGGTGTCGATTTTTGTGTTACCGGATCTTCTGTCTCTTACGACGGCTGGTATGTGTTGACTTGTTTTCCATCTTCCAAAATTGATATCATTTCTGTTTCCTAGGTATGAGTTCTACGTAAGATCTAACGTCCCTCTCGTCGCTCTTTCTAATAAATTAATGACTTTATACAGCCTGCGGCCTCCGTTGACTTCTCCGGGATCTCCTTCTCTGCTGGTGACTCTGTGACCGTCACCGCCACTGTCATCAGCACTTCAGAAGGCACTTTGACCATCGAAAACAACTCCAAAGGGACCACCGTCTCCAAGACTGTTTCGTCCTCTGCCAAACTGTGTGAGACCAACGCCGAATGGATCGTCGAGGACTTCGAGGAATGTGAAGGTAGCAGTTGCTCATTGGTTCCGTTCGCCAACTTTGGGACCATTGAATTCACGGGTGCCTCTGCGACGACGAGTTCTGGCACAGTTACCCCTGCTGGTTCCACACTTATCGAGATTGAGCAGAGCAACAAGGTCTTGACTACAGTTTCCCAAAGTGGAAGCACCGTCACTGTTGTATACGCCTAAGCCTAAAGGCTTGAAATTTTTGTTATGTGTATGTAAATTTCTCAAATGAAGAATGTTGTTTAGTATGGTAACTCGTGAATCCGAGAAAATGCGCTGGGCATTTGTTAGTATCAAACGAGTTAACCTAGGACCCCCCAAAGTACTATATGAACCTGGGTACCGACAATTCTGAAAATTGGCTAAATTTGTGCGGACAAATGGTCGAATTTTGTCCGGATTTTGCCCCAGGTATGTCAAAAAAATTCGGGGCTTGTCCGGACATGGTATCAAGGTCCCAGCCGGGCCGGAGCAAGAAAAATGTATGAAAATTTATTATTTTTACAAAAATTTCTTCTGAAACTCGGAGGGCTGGATAACCCTTGTGCAGACTAGAAATGTGAGATCATTCAAGTTGTCAATAAGATTCCTCACTTCACAAACATAAGCTCACCAGCCCGAGGCGCCCATGTCCGGACATGGGATCAAGGACCATCAAAAATATATACATTTTGTCCATACATGGTATCAAAGTTTCCCGGAAATTTCTCAAAAAATGCCCCGGGTCAGAGCCCAAAAAGCATGAAAATTTGTCCGGATCGGTACCCAGGTCCATATGGTATTTTGGGGGGTCCTGTTAACCTCAGCGTATCGTAGAAAGCTCGTTGTATAATGTATACCTATCAAACAAGTTAACTAACAAATGAATAAGTAACGTTAGAAGTGACAAAAGTATATGTATACATAACGGACTCACCCTCAGCATATCATAGAAAGGCTAAGAAAGCTGAGGGCGGGGGGGTTTCAAACCCACTTGATTTAAATAAAATCATCCGCCATACGTACTATCATGCCAGTGGAGTTTGAAAATTCTTCAAAAAATCACTTCGGAAATGCCTTTACAGCCCTTTGCATAATTCCGTGAAAATGGGAAATTTTTTTTTACCGGACCGCCCATAAGCGACTTCGACCGAGATCTCCGGCCTGACAGCTGACTGCTTGGCGTCGTGCCCAGTAACAGCGCCATACCTCTGCACACTGTCTCCTCACGATGTACATGCACCTAAAATTTACTGGAATAGCTGCAAAAAGAACAGGATCCAGCAGGTATTGACTAAAAAGCTTAGCATTGAGAGGCTGCTGTCATATATTGAAGTTTTCTAACAATTAAGAGGCACTAATGTAATAACAGTGTGTCGGGATGTTGAGCGGGTGGTCGTTGTTGCCACGTCGGGTCGACATCAAAGTTGGGTCCGGAACATTCAAAAATCGGACCGAAGTAGGAAAAAAAAACCCTGTTTTCACGGAATTATGCAAAACCCTGTAAGAGCTTGAAACAAAATCTTTTTTACGAAGTGTACCTGACCGGACTCGTATCGCCTGCTTTGGCCTTATGTCCATATTCGTTCAACACTTAGATTCAGAGTGTACGATCAGAATATGCTACCAAGAACTGTGTCTAATCCATCCTCGTTGTCTCGATGACGCTTTCTTGCAACATCTCCCTCGACTTCAGACGATCGCTTGTTTGTGCGAGATAGTGGTTTGAGTACCATCTCCTCACCCTGTTCCTTCTTTCGCTGGGAGCGTTTCTCGAGCACCCGAGCTAATTCTACATTCCGCATATAGTCTCGCTGTTCGGACCTCGATTGCGATAGCTCAACACGCAATTTAGCTGTGTGAATTGCGGCCTCGTGCGCTAGAGACGAATAAGCATAGGCATTCTTCCGAGGATCGTACAAACGAATAATCTTGAGATACGTACCGACTTGTTCAGTGAGCATGCTCCATTTGAACTTGGGCAGATATTTCATAGTCCAGACATCATCTCTCCACCGAGTTCCTTTTTTACCACCGATTGGCTGAGCATTCAGCATCTCTGCTACACTCCGCGCGACCTTTTTGTCTATGAATTCTACCCAGCCTTCCGTAAAATGGGGTTTCTTGGTAGAGGTGTATTTGCGTCTGAGATACGCTCGTTTTGCATCTGCAGTCACAGAGATATAAGTATCAGAACTACTTTTTTTGAAACAGTTTATCGCACCTTCTTGCTGCAAGTAAACTCTACCAACTTCCCCGTGTGAGCTCATGAGATGCCTGACTTTCGATGGTCGCATGCCTGGGGGTATTCGAGAAATGTAAATGACTCCTGCACGGTCTTGTGCTGCTTTATACGCGGCAAGCGCCTCCGTAGTTAGAGGCTTGACAATCTTCGGACCAGCAAAACCTTGAGGATCCATGCCTTGACCCATGCCACCGTTCAGGTCACCTTCCAGCTCAGAGCCGGTATCACCGCCGTCTTCCTCCTCCTCCTCTTCCTCCACCTGGTGTTCCTCTACTTCTTCGCCGTCATGAGCATTCAATTCTTCGTCAGTCCCTGGTAGCAGTTGTGATATTTTTGAGGATTGTGCATCGGCTTCTCCAGTATATCTTTCTCTCGTCCGAGGCGGAGATGAGGTATTTCGGGATATCATCTTCAAGATGGTGCTTTTAAAAAATGTCTAATACAGCATCACGTGAAAAGGACTAGCTTGGCGGTGCTTACCATTACCCTCTTCATTGAGCACCACAGCATCAACGATCGTGATCTTCAGTAATCCTGAAGAACTGTTTATCAAAGCACCTAATACCCAATTGTATCAAGAAATGTCTGAAGCCATGGATGTCGATCCTCCAGTCAAGAAAGAACCCAAGGAGGGCAAAGTCGATGGTGGCAAAGCGCGCTTCGAAGTCAAGAAGGTATTACCTGCTTATACGCTTTTCTGAAGTGTAGACTGACCGTCAAACACTTAGTGGAATGCCGTGTCGCTGTGGGCTTGGGGCAAGTCCATCCTACTTTTTCTACGTACTAGAATAATCCGTTGATCAGCCTCGTTTCATTAGATATCGTCGTAGAAAACTGTGCCATTTGCCGAAACCATATCATGGACTTGTGTATGTTCTCTTCCTGCTTCACGTTACTCCTCAAAGCTATGCGCCCACTAATCGTATTTCGCACTTCTTTTAATCCTCCACTTCCGATTCCCTTCGCTGTTAATACCGCATATCCTATCCTTTAATGTTTTTCGAATTTCGTAGGCATTGAATGCCAAGCGAATCAGGTGTCCGCTACAAGCGAGGAGTGCACTGCTGCGTGGGGTATCTGTAATGTGCGTGCTCCCAATCTATTCCCCTCTTCACTTGTTTCATTGACTGCTTTTTTGATATGTAATTCCTCTGAAATACCTGGAATCCATCTTCTGGGATCTACTTGATTTTGGGTTTCCCTCACTGATCACGATGCAACACAAACTTCTATTCTATAGCATGCCTTCCACTTTCACTGCATATCGCGCTGGCTCAAGACAAGGAACGTCTGTCCTTTGGACAACAGAGAGTGGGAGTTACAAAGGTACGTTCTTGATTTTCTCTTCCATCAATTCACCTGATCTTACTCACAGATATGGCCGATGAACGAGTTCCCCAAGTTGTTTGTCCCGAATTGTTTTGAGGCAGAAACCCTGCACCGAGATTGTGGTGTTCGATTAGAATGTCTTTTATGTGCGCAAGCACACTCATAGCACTCGCTACGCACGTAGACCTTTAGGATTTGATTTTAAATCGTGTTACCTGTATCGTCTCGATTGAACTCCGAATGTACTCTATCCATCCTTCAGAATGTTCGATCTCGCCGGGACGCCTACATACCAGTAATTTTGAGTACCCTCTGAGTCATTGTTCCGATTCCAATTACCTTGCTTGCAAGGTCTATTCTACCCTGGAATTGAACATTTTTGATGTGCAGGCACACTTTGAACTTGTTGTGTTTTGAAGCTTCCACAACAACTTGCCCATTCTCCATCTACATGACATTCAGAACATATGGAGGCCCTGTACCCACTCGCGGCGTGCCCTGTGCGCGCCGTGTTTTAGATGTACAATATTTACCAAGCAAGGTGTGGTCCACGACAGTGGAGCCTAGTTATTATCGGGCGCTCGTAAGGAATGATGGGCATACCGTTGATAACTGGTTGGCGGGAAACGACTGGGAGACATCGCAATCTACATATTAAATTTACATTGCAAGGCCCAGGAGATGACAACATGTACAGTATTTTTACAAGGCTAGATACATACATACCCTAAGATAACATGAAGATGCATGAGACAACTAAATAGTAAAATAGACAGAGGGAACAGCGATTACTGATCAGAGATGAATACAGTCCGGGGACGATATCGTACTAAGGAGGAAAAGACATGGATCGAGGCGAGAGGACACGAGTATTAAGACCCAAAAAAAAGCAAAGAGACATTACGAGAGCAGATAAGTAGTAGAAAACAAAACAACTTGGAAAACATTACAACGGACTCGGAATTTGTAAGGCAGACGATAGTAGCCTCTAATACGGGGCTGGACGAGCTTTCTTCAACTTTTTGGAACGCTCATCCGAGATTGTGGCCGCACGTCCCCTTGGCCGGCCAGTTTCCGTTATGAAGATACTAAAGGGCTTCATTTTAGCGAGATCTTCAGCAGACGGCTGCGAAGCCGTTGGGAGCTGAATTGAAGAATTATGGACGGGACTAGTAGATTGTGGATCAGGATGATTCTGCGACGTCGGAGTTTTACGACGAGTTGTGCCAGACGGAGGGTTCCCGCGAAATGATCGACGCTCAGAGGAAATGGCTGTCCCCACGGATGTGGCTTGTTGTTGCTGCTGGACCTTCAGCACAAACTGTTTTGAAATCCAAACAGCGTTCCACCAGAGGATATAGTGGTCGGCAGTGGGTGGCGGCCTAATGATATGGTTGAAGTAGGTGTCCATTACAGTTTTTATCACCGGGGGAAATATGTCTGGCTGAGGAAGGTAGCCGAGGTCAGGAAGAATCAAAGGACCTTTGTCGTGGTCCCATTTGAGACCAGCTTGGACAACAAGCTCCCGGGATCGAGAACGGATGATGGTAGCAGGAGGTGGAGGTGCGACACCGAACTGAAAAGCGATTTGGTTCCAGTGCGGGTGAGGAGAGATCGACTCGTAATTGAGTGTGGGCTCGGCTTTCGGAAATCCGAATATATAAGGGTGATGTGAGGCGGGGGGAGGCTGAGGGTTCAACTGAGCGACAGTACTAAGACCCATTTCTGGACCATTTGGATTTAAACAGGGACCCGACATGGACTGGTAATGCGTAGATTGCACAACGGGTGTGTAGCCTGTTTGGGTACCATCGGGATTGAACGGCGTTGCCCCTGTTAGGGGAGAGTGTCTTATCGCCAGAGGTGCAACCTCCTGATGAGCGAAGTGAGATCGTTCCACAGGGGCTCTCGAAGGAGTTATAGGATTCTCAAAAAAGCTCTCGTTTCCAAAGGAGGAAGTTTGCCCAGTAGGAGATTCGTTTCCGGCCTGATTTACGCCCAAACCGACAAAAGCTGGGCTAACACCTACATTGGTATTGACGAAAGTGAGGGCAGAGGGAATGTCAATGTGTGGACTTGACTCGGGGCCTGGATATGGTCCTTGGACGCCCGAATGGACTGGGGGAGCAGCGTGGTGATCGATTAACAAAGGGTCAAGAACAAAACCACATCCAGAGTGGGCCGTAATGGATGAGTGTAGAAGTGGACGTGGGAGTGAAAGGTCCACAGCTGGTAGAGACGAATCATATTCCCCAAAAAGCTCGGGGTAGTTGGACGTAGAAGGAGTATGATCGCTGGAAGTGACGCTGTTGTCCTCTTGAGATGTGGCTAGCTCAACGTCACTCCCACCATTTACAGCTGGTGCAGAATCCCACAAATTGTCAGGTATGCTATGGTGGGATTCAGATGAAGTAGAAGGAGAGGCGCCACGCTCAATTTCGAAGGTACTAGCAGAGGTACTGGATGCAGCCTGCGGACTTGCCAAGAAATCCGGCATGGGAGGAGGTGAGATATCCATCTCGCCCATGGTGTTAAATCCTCCAAATAGGCTATTAGGGTCGAAGAAATTGTTCAGAGCTGATACTTCTCCAGAACAATCGGAGAGATATGAATCGGTGTTGGTACTACTAGGAATGTTCTCCTTGAGACCCTCACAGCTCGGCGCCTCCAATAATGAGATCGAATCGCATTTGGGCTCCCCCCTGTGAGTAATGCTTTTCGAATTTGTTGAGAAGGAAGCGGATTGCTCAAGGCTTGGACTACAGTCATCCATGCCAGGATAAGGCTGTAGAAAAGACATCTGGGGAACGAAAGAAAAGAAAATGACATTTGGGTTGGACTCTGATAAGATGGTGAAAAAAATAGCAATGGGACATACCAATGTAAAAAAATTTATTGAAAAAACCCCACAGAAAGTTAACCAGAGAATTTTTGGCGAACGAGATGATAAGAGTGTGAACTAGAGAGTGAAGATGACAAGAGAGTAGAAATCCGTCTCTAGAATGTTGTGGATTTATATACAGGCCAAAGGCGGGGGACCCTGACTAGTTGGCTCGTTCGTTTGTTCGTGTCCAAGAGCAATGGCTGGCCACCTTGCTTACCGTTGCCAGAAAGAGTGGTTCAATGTTTCTATCACATCGGTTTTCCATATAATCACATCCCGACTCTCCTCGTTCTGGGACAATCCAGTTTACGATCTTCTACAATGAGCGCTGAAATGAGATCCAATGAGATGGCAAATGAGATGGCGGTGATATTTAGTAATGGGAAAAATATTGGAACAATGGTGGCAACTTGGACCATCCGACCAAATTTGGTAATCGAATTTTTTGCCCCGACGACGTTTTCGCATGTGGACCAAAGCACGGACGATGTCAAAGTACTTATGTAGACTTCTTGGGATCAGGAAACACGCGAGCGCTGGGGCTGAGCAGCTGGGAGTCAGTTAGAGAACAATGAGATTGCGATTGCGATGGCTGAGATACTGCTCCATGAGTGAGTGCGTCGAAATCGCGTACCCTAAGTACTAGGAAGATGTCATGTACAGAGGATTCCTTTTGTCTCTGTTCTTTTTTGGGTGGCGTCGAGTATGGATTCGGACAAGCACCTACTGGGGACCTATAAAAATATTCGTAAAAAAGAACAGCTCCGGAGTAGAACCCGGGAGACTCGGTGATAGATTTACTAGTGGAAGTGGACCCTTACCGTTCTCAGGCTTATCTCAAGCTAGGAGGAGAGAGGCCCAAGCTCAGTGCCCAGACGTCCAATGTCCAAGCCAAAAATGGCCAGTCACCAGGGAGCCCCCCGAATCCATCGGAGCCTACCAACCGGATTTCGGAAAGCTGCTGCTGTGAAGACCACGGTTGGCCCTGAAGAATATTGAAGAATGCTTCATACTCAGCAAAGTATGTTATTTTAAGTTCTTTGTTTCGTTCCCCAGACGATATGGATTTACGATATACGATGAATGCGGACTCTGGAGGAACTGGCCATACTTATGTCCTTCAATTTGGGCCCTTATAAAGGATGCTGGTATGACAGGCCTAAGGTACTTACAGCCAGCATCATTGAGGCCATCTCTGTGGTCATCCAGGCGATACTGGGAATGGGAATTCACAGCTCGGAGCTGGGTATAGAGGAAAAAGGGAGACAAAGGAACACTAGGAGAAAGGTAAGCTCCTTAAGAACAGGTAATTTTGATTGGGGAACAATAAGAGCCTGCAATTTGACTGACCGAAGTGGGATAATATCAACAGGAGGTAAAAGGCCATCGAAGGAGGGTACTGAGACGATCGGAGATGTGGACGCCTGACGGTCCATATGGGTCATTTGATTGATATCGGCTACAGGAAGTTGTCCACAATGCCCGGAAGCTTGAAGAATTTTCTTCGATTTATATACGAGAAATCCTTCTCTGCCCTTCGATCGTTTATATGATTTGGATTGAATATAGCATATTCTTGACCTCGAAAAAAAAACGAATAGATACTGAGAGCGTGTACTTAATGCAACGTATGCCCATACCATGACCGTTAACCATTTAGCCTTGAATTTTCGTTTGTGCCCGGTCCGTACCTTAACAGACTTCGATAGTACAGGTGTAATTTGCGTACCATACCAAAAGTATATCATCGAGCCTAAGATGTGTTCAACCTCGACTCTCGTTGGAAGGTGTACTTTGATGGAACGCCTCGTTGTAGCTCGTTGTTTGCCATGGTACTTTCTAGAAGTTAGGGATCGATATCACTCTCCAGTGTCAGTCGATATTATGTTTGCGTTGGCTCAATAATTATGACAATGCGACATACTTTCTCCTTGCGTAGTTCTCTGTTGTTCCGCGTTCGCCGTTGACATAGACGTACAGTATGAATCACAGCATATTGTTGAGCAAAAATAGAAGAAGAAGAGCAGTTCTACAGGCATGCTTAACCCGCGCATTTATGATTAGAGTAACGGTGTTCTGAGGAAACAGGCTTGTAAGTTCAACTTGAGAGGAAGAGAGAAACGCACATATTTGCGCTTACATCCAACGGTGCTGACATAATCATGATGGCGGGAGCCGATCACTTTACACCACACTGCTAAGTGCTCCATGACGGAAACTTTAAACTTAGACTTAAATTTCTTCGTTCTTCTTCGGCGTTATTTCCGTCGTCGTTCACAACGATGACCAAGCCAACTATTCTTCAGACGCTGCTGGGCAGACCGTCACAGACATATACTTTCCCTCAGGACAGGGACTATCATTCTACCAAAGCCCATATGCTCCGCGTGGCCTCAGCAGCCCAGAAGACGTCTGATCTTCCAGAACACCAAACTATACCCACAGTCAGTTTGTTTCTTCTTACTTCCAAGAAATGTTAAATAAAAGTGCCTGATAAAACATACATATAGACCGTGATGGGAAGAAAAAATAGATTGTCCACCACCGCTGAAATTGTATCTGTTGAATCGCACGTCATTGATTCCAAACTTTGTCTTGACGGTCAACTTGACGACAAGGATTCAGGCTCTGAAGAAGATATTTTCTATACACCAGATACTTCTCCAATGGCGCCTTTGGTCAACCAGTTGGATCTACCACCGAATGTTGATAATGATTCGGCTATAGCGACCAGAACACCGTTTACTCCCCGCTCAACAACGACCTCTATCTCATCCAATTCTCTTGACGGCCATTCTATATTCTCTCTAGATTCTAGTCCATTATCCGACTCTACTTTTATCACCACTCCGAACGTCTCAGATACTGGCCATGACATTGATTATGTCACGAAATCTGCTAGGCGGTCAAATCCAGATCGTACGAAACAGCCGTCTTTGACTTATACAGACGAAGACTGGGCAAAGGATGTACGATGGCTTGCTCCTCCATCTGCTAAACTATCAACCAAGAGAAAGTCCAAACCATCTGCTAATAACAACACCGTTGCATCCACGAGTTATTACATTGCTCAGTTACCTCCGAAAATCGTACCCCAGCCTCCGCTTCCTAGGCCTCGTCCAAGACCAAAGATTAGGTCCAAGTCTGTTGGTATCACTGCGCACTATAGTATAATGTCGAGCATGACTGCTTTGCTTGAAGAAGAAGACGAGGACAGAGAATCTGCACATCACCCAAGTCAAGGCAGTCTTCGTTCCGCTGCAGCTGTTGCTGCTTCACCCTCAGAACGTCTTAGAACCCATTCTACCTCTTCTTCTGCTCGTCCACGACCATCCAACTCATTGAGACGACAGAACAATCTTTCCACGAAGCCGCTGTCACGAAGAAAGTCTAGATCATTGGAACATCTCCCACCTATCACTTCCGCGCGGCGTCTTTTGCCCGATTCCGTTCACTCTTTATCATCTTTCGCTTCCAGTACATCATATGTTCCATCAATTCCATCGTCCGGTACACCCGGATACACCTCTCTCACCCTTCCCCGTGCTCCCCAACCAGCATTTACTCCCAATCCCAGCAAACGTGTTAGCGTTGTCGGAGGCGCAGATGGCAAAATCGATCTGACACGGAGTGGGATCGCACAAACGACGATGGCTACAGTCGAGGTTACTAAAGGACTAGCAGGGAATATGAAGAGTGGTGTTTTTGGACTTGGGAATTTACTCAATAGAGCGCGTAGCCGGAGTGTTTCTGCGGCAAAAGGAAGTGTTACTGTTTCGCCACTGGATGAACTTGGGACTACTGCTAGTTCTAGGTTCCGGTCAGGGAAAGCCGGCGTTGATGCAGTTTTGAATTTTACGAGTTATCGTCGACCTCCGGATTATATCCCAGGCGGAGGTGTGCTGGTACAAGTATGGGCTGTAGCGGTGGATGGGATCGATGCAAAACTTGCTGGTGTTGTGCATTCCAGAGTAGAAGAAGGAAGAAATCCACGATTTAACATCCCTAGTCAAAGAACAAGCGAAAAAGAGGGTACAAAGAACACGTCATCGAGTACTAGACCAAGCTTATTTCGGAGTGTGAGTGCTAGGAAGCACAAACGGTCTGAGAGCGATAATAATTCTCTCGGCCGAAAAAGTTCCGTGGGGGTACACTCGATAGATCCTGATGTTGGGTATATACCAGGCCGCAGTTTCGTTGGGAGGGTGTTGGAGTGTGGATGGGATGTTAGTGAAGATGTTGTGCGGAAGGGGGAATGGGTTGTGGGGCTATTGGATGTAAGAAAGGTGTGTGTGTGTTTGTACGTTTAAGTTTAGTGTATCTGAGTTGGCCCTTCTTCAGTGTGGTGCATTGCAGGAATTCATCGTAGCGGATCGCCATCGAGTTCATCGGATACCTCACCCCACAATCCCCTTTGTGTCCCCCCTCGCTGACTCAGTGTCAGAATTTTCCGAAACACCACTACCACCCACACGCGGAGCCAAACACTCTCATCGGCAAGCCTCTTCCTCCTCTGCCTCTGCCTCCCATCTATCTTCACATTCACGTTCAAACTCTTCACCCTCCCGTGCATCCTCCCTCTCTCGACCCGGCCGACCTCCAAATCTAAATCTCGACCCGCCACCACTCACCCTCGAAGAATACGCACTCTTACCTTTATGTGGCATCTTTGCTTATCGAGCTGTCCGGACCCTCGCTTACGCATTCGGTAAACCGATGCCGAGCTCTGCCGAACCTGGAAATTTCTCTCCTTCTCCAAGGCGTATTAACGAGCACGAGGAAGGCAGTCGTCGTCGCCGCGCTCTTGTTTTGCGCGGACACGATGGTGTAGGTGCGATAGCTGTGCAGATGCTAGTGAAACGTGGATGGAGAGTATGTGTTCATGCTTCGTTTCTACGTGATCCAGAGTTGGTTGAGGAAGGGTCGAGGGAGGAGAGGGTGTATATGGAGAGTGTTGAGAGGAGAGTGAGGAGATGGGGTGCGGAGGAGGTGGTGTTTGATGATGGTGGAGGTTCTGACCCTGAAGGAGGAGGAGGAGGATGCGAGGATGGAGTTGCAGCTGTCGTCCGGGTTATTGAGCGGCTCGTTGAGGACGGGGACGTCTTCGATGCAGTCCTGGATACCGTAGGAGGGAAAGAAATATGGGAAGCCTCGGAAAGATTATTAAGGAACACAGGTGTTCCATCTCCCTCTCCAGATTCAATCTTTCCTTCTATCTCTTCGTCATCTGAAATAAAGCCAAGCTTACTTGGCAGGAGAAAAAAGAAAGACAAGAATAACGATGCTTCGCCTTTACCTGGAAATCAATCTCATCCTGGGGGGACAGGTCAATTTACCACTCTTGTTGGCGATACCCCTAGCCGTCCAATTCCCACTGCTAGCGATCATTTTAGAGCGGGGTTGAGGTCCATGAAGAACACGCACAATGCAACAACAACGAAAGATGGATCGAACCGATCTCCGGTCAAGAAGGGTGCGAACGGCAATGGTAAAGTCGGGTATGCTTGGGTGAGCGTTGCGCAGGATGTTGATTGGGAAGGGGAGGATATAAGGGACAGTTTGGGTGCTGTTGTTAAGATGGCGATGAGTGAGGGTGTGAGGCCTTGGATTGGTGGAAGTAAAAGCGAGGGAAATGACGAGGCCAATGATAATGATGATGATGAAAGAGTAGTGCCTTTCGAACGGACTCCGCGGATTTTTGTCGCAAACGGACCATTGAGTAATGGGGGAACGGCGGTAGTCAAGGTTGTTGAGTGAGTGAGTCGAGTCAAGTGAGCCTTTTACGCTCTCTTGCTCCTGGTTCCTTCATCTCTCGTGGACGATCCGGTTCTTTATATTTTTCCCGTGTTCCTTTCAGTCTTGCCCTTGTTCACATACACGCACGCGATACTAATGATTACTTATCATGAGCGATACCAGCACATCCTCATCAGCAAAAATTGTTACAATAGTCCGGACTACTCATAGAGCATACATACTATGTACTTATCATGAAGAGTAATTATTTTGCCTTGTGTGGATGATGTCACAATAACAAAGGAAATAGGCAGGGGACTCAAATCCACCCTGCTCCTGTCACTGTCCCCTTCACACTGAAACCTTTTCTATGGGACCTTCTACCATTATGGGGGAGTTTTCTGTAACTGTTATTTCTATGTGGACCGTGAGGAAGCCTATGACTGCTATGTGGGGATTTCTGCTGATAGGACCTCCCTGCTATAGCTCCGGTATGGTGACCCTTGCTAACGTTGAGTTTCTGTTCAACAAGTATGCTGGGCACTCCTCCAGGTATATACCCATCCTACGACTGCTATGTGGGGATCTCTACTGATAGTCAAGTTTCCATTTGACAATGAGCTCCTCACTATAGCTCCGGTTGGCAACCCTTGCTGAACGTCACAAATTTTGTTTGACAACTATGCTGGGCAAGTATATATCTGTTACATGGAACTCAACTGTGCATCATTACTCCTGGAACCTTGGAGGGCTCAGGTGTTAAAGAGGGGGGTAATGTCATGCCTTGCCTGATTTTGCTTCCTTACCTATCATATTCCTCCTTACTACCTTCCTATATCTCCCCACTGTATACCCAGAGCTCCCCTTGTCCGCTTTTACCATTATGTAATATGCCACATGGCTGTCACATGTATAGTATTTAGGCTGGGGACTCCCCTCGGAGCTCCCCAGCATGTTATTGTCAAATTTTATCTGGAAACTCTTCCAACCTGGCTTGGTCCCTGTTAGTACAGTCTACTTGTACTTGCTAACAGGGCCTGACACGTCTCACCTGTCATACATTTCCTCTTTATCTGTTTCCCTCAACTCTGTTTCCTTCACCTCTGTTTCACTCAACTCTGTTTCTCTTCTCTGTCTCACCTCTCTGAACACCTCTCTATACTTTCTGAGCCTCTCCTACGACTTACAGTCTACGTCGAGGCTCCACACCCCCAACCACCTCCATCCTCACCAACTACACCTCCTTCCCCCACTCCAGGACCTTTGGCTAGGTCCACCCAAGCTCCGCAACCACCACTGGTCAGGCTCCCTACACCAGTAGCGGCACTTATCCCACCTCCCCTTGTACCACCTAGGCAGCTGTCCTGTTTGCTTAGGCCCAGTCCAGATAGGACGAGAGCAGGCCTTTTGTGCCAGGCCTCACAATTCCGCTCATGTAAAGGTTATTCTTCTACCCAATGAGGGTGATCTATGTGCAATGAAAAGCGGATATTGCGCGAAGATGATATGAAGTCCGGGCCTGGAAAGTCTCAGTCGATGACGGATGTAATTCGGGAATGAGATGAATTGGCGTCAGCAATCATGATGTTCTGCAAGTGAAAGTCTCCGGCAGGGGCAAACTGTGGATATTGGTGGAAGGATCAAATAACGCAGGAATGAGAGAACGCATGTACTATGCTTGATAGTGGGTATATGGCTTGATATCAGAGCCAAAATTCAACTCATCTATGTCATCAAGCTGAGCATTAGCTTACAGCGTATTCAAAAAACCTTGTCAGTAGCGTAAAAAATGAGATAAAATAAAATAAAATCGAAAAGGTACCCGACGTTTTAGCCGACCACTTGGTGAGTGTGCTGTCACTTGCGCCTTTTGACAATGATCTTCCATGCCAGTGGTGGAGGCTGGAGGCTGGTGGAGGTAACAAGTCCACTCAAGGATCACAATGTCAATGGAACTCCTCCTGGCATGGTCAGACTCTCCAGAGGCATCATCATCTGTTACTAGTCCTACCTCAGAAGCAAGAGATCTGCAATCATACAAAGGTGGAACATATGGAGGGGGCAGGCTGCCTCTAGATATCCTTGGATACATGAGAATGGCAGTCAGATGCCAGTTGCACATGGCCAAGGCTTGCACTAAGACAACCCAGAGAGAGCCAGAGATGTCCTGAAGACAACAGACAAAGCACTGCTAACCAGTTGGAAGTTGTTGAAATGACATCACACAACTGGACAGCACTTGCCAAGCGGTCGGCTAAAGGTCAGGTACCTTTTGGATTTTATTTTATTTTATTTTATTTTTTACGCTACTGACAAGGTTTTTTGAATACGCTGTAAGCTAACCAGAGATCGGCAGCATGAGAGTAAGATGTAGTCAGAATAAGGTGTCAGGTTCCACTGTACTGTCATCAGGGTCAACGAACAATGAGCTGTAATGGATGCACAAGCTACCATCAGTTCCATCGAATAAGGGTTCTTTTTTATCGGATCTATGTGACCATAGCTCAAGCAGAATGTCGATAACCTGCCAGAGGACTATAAGACGTCTATCGTTGTCCATCCCATCCCATACAGAGCTAAATGGGACACCATCGACTTTGGACATAAGTATATAGAGTGAACCCATGTCTTCCTCTGCATGAGTGCTATAATGGAACGGGGATTTTGGTATGAGTATCAACATACTTCATTGTCACCACTTCACTCTCAATCCTTGAGATCGCAGAGCTATGTTCCTCGCTTGTGGCATCCTTAAATCGAAGAGGTACACGAGCGACAACAATGGACTCTTGATTTCCATGAAGATGGAGGAACTTGAACAGACGAGATTGTATCCTCCTGAGAGTTGCTCTCCCCAATGGCACCTGGGGGAAGTTGAGAAAGTGTACATGCAAGCAAAGCGAGTTTGTCTCAATTAACAAGAGTAAATGTAGTACGAAGACGTGGGTCTACTAAAGAAGAATTGCTAGAACAATGGAGAGAGTTGCCATCACTGCGGGGATGAGCCCATTTGCTCACGCCGAAAAGTTGCCATATTATATATAACATGAGGTTTTTCAAAATAAACTCTGCGGGGAAATTCTTTCTTTTGCAGATTTGAGGATGGTCTCAGCGAGGTTATGCTGAACAAAGACTTTCCTTGCAGAGCTTATTTTGAACAACCTCATGTTATATGCATGGCAATTATTTTGTAATTATTTTGAATAATCAAACCAATATTTTGTTGTGATTATTCTTTAAAATTTGCTGCATATGAGCCTTATATTCTGCTAGATATGATTATGGAACTATTCAAATCTCTATGTACATATTTAGAGATTTTTGTACAAAAGCTCACAATAATTTCAGCCTTTTCGGGGTGAGAAAATGGGCTCATCCCCGCAGTGATGCATGGTCACCTTGCTTGCTTAGGTCCTTTTCCATGTCAGTTAATTAGCGCGCGTGAAGATTTTACCACGTTTTCCAAGATCGTTTTCCTTATTTGTACGTTCACAAATAAACGCAAAGCGGCTGGCTTCCTCATCAAGTCTTCATTACTCCTCCGCCGCCTTCGGTGCCAATGGTCTGCCGCATACCATACCTGTCGCCCCCGTCGGTCGCAATGACATTGGAATTTGGACCCCTCCATTTCCTCTCCACTGCTTTGCCCTCAGTGACTTGATGAACCCTACGGCTTACTTACTTTGATCTGTTTCTTTCCTCCTTCTACTTCTCAAAATTCGTACAGCCTCATACTGAATCTTCTGCCTATGGTTTAGTTTTCTCCTCAGAACTCTCCATTGTGCATCCACCACTTCCATAGCTTATCCCTTTTTCATGCTATTTTCTTGTCATCCTTAGGTTCATTATACACAGCTCCCTTACCTACTGTCATTGCACTGTCTGTCTGTGGGTTGTAACTTCTGCTGCTTCTCATACGTGATGGGATTGACAGTCCGCTGCCACCGTCTGTCCTCTCTGCCTTCCTTCCTATTGCTTCATGTGCACTCCTGGGCTTCAAATGTACATGCCATGTGCTGTGTTGTGTACAAAAAAACCTCACCTTGCTTGCAAAGGTCATTTCTTACTCGATATTATTAGCGCTGCGGAAATTTTACCCACGGTTTCGGCGCTTGTTCTTGACATTTTACTTTCAGGGTTACCATCGTTTTTGTTTCCTCTATACCACCATTCCTCTGTACGACCTACCTACTGTTCTGTGCAACATGCTCAGGTAGATCAGCTGGTATTCATGCCTGGGCGCTAGCTGACCTCACCTGTGCTGTGTACGACGCCAACATCCACTTTCTCTTCCCCTTTTTTGGTGCTGTTATTATGTTGCCTCCTTAATCCTTGTGAGGTGCTGCCTCCTTTCTCTGTGCGGCGTCCCGATGGTCCGCCGCTTGATCGCATTCCCTTATTAATTTGGACTCCTGAATGATGCGCTCGTTCCTTTTTTGTAAGAAAACTGCAATGTGTGTCCATTCCTCATTCATTCCCGTTCTGTTGTAACCGGGTGCTTAACCCTCACCGCGTCCAACTTAACAGACTACGGGTTATGTCCGGTCGTTACTCGCGTACCCCTTCATTATCTCCTCTACCCCCCATCTTCTATGCTATAACGTTGGATGACCTGGACAACGATTCGTTGAGGGAAATCACCAGTTACCTCCCTTCATTGGCCATCGCTTCGTTGTCTGCGGTGTCTAGACATTTCGCTGCTTCGTGTTTGCCTGTGCTGTACCGGTCGGTCACAGTGTCTTCTTTCGGTACTCTTGCTCAGAGCCAACCGTTCGTTTCCCGCCTAACTGGACAACACCCTGCTGCTTATGTTAGGACAATTGTCGTCGGCTCCTCACGGCGTGAGGTACTCCCATCCACAATCAGATCCGGATTGCAATCAGTCGATAACCGCGCGCTCAATCCGTGTCTCCTTAACTTAGAAATATGGTCTCAGGAGTTGACACTTGCCGATGTCTTTGCTCGCAGTCCAGGTAGACTCGCCCCTACGACCCTTCGATTTGAGTGTCCTTTGATTGCGGATTCTCCCAGGAAATCGCTGGCTGTCATGGCAAGTACTGTCGTAATGTCTACCACAGATCGTTATTCACCTTTGACAATCTCCATCCAGCGGTCTTTGGTTTCGACCAACCTTACTTCTTTGACTATATATTTCCCTTATTTCGCCCCTCAACGTATGTGTCTATCGCGATCCTTTTTGGCCTTGGCTTCTGATTCCCCTTCAGCACGTTCGAGTACTCTTCACAAGATGTTCATGCAGATCACGCCTGCACTCATTAATGTCACTGTTTTCGACATTTGGTTGAACAGCACTGAACGTGACATTGTCCCACGGCAGAAGGATGGAAATCCCCAGCCCAATACCTTACCAGGTGCTTTCTCAAGCGACTGGTTCTCCCTACCTTCGCTCCGAACGTTTCTGTTCCGTGATTCACTATACGACGTTCCACTTCACCCTTTTCTCACTCGACACCCATTAATCGACAACCTCACCCTCGACATTGACAACTTCGATTGGCTGCCGATCCCGGACCTCGCCAGCGGTGGACATCTGCCGCGTCTGCTTGCTTTTACTGGCACGCTCCCAAATGTTTCAAGCATTCTACGCTCCTGGTCTACCGCCCTCACTATGATCAGTGTTGTTGGTCCGCGATCCAGTGAACATGAATTACAACTGTTTCTGGGATTACTTCCTCGTCACTCTTCGGCTGCTAGTTGACGATGGTTACCTACCTGATGTCCTGAATTGTCTGCTCTCTGCTTGCTGCCACATTGTGTCCCTCACTGTTGTGCTCCACTGTCCTCTGAACAGCACCCTCGTATGTCGCATCTCACGATGTTACGAAACCTTTCTAACTTGATTCATTGCTTAGTGGATTCATGCTGTATCATCTTGCCTTGCATTACCCAGTATTCGGCAGGTGCATGTTCGCAATTTCGGTGTCAATGCCGCCTTCATCCGCCGCCATGCATACGAGACATTGCGCCTCCTGAGTTCTGTCGATTTCTTTCCCCGTATTCCGGCCGGTGTTTCTCTGTCTGTGGCGAATGACAAGGGCGAAGAGGAGGTTTTGATTACATGCGATTGATTGCGAGGCCGCCGCGGTTGTTAATTTTTCTTCGAGTCGATTTACTCCATCCTCATTTGCGTCATCTCGGGTCATACTTCTCCTTCTTATTCTTTGTTATCTTGTGTAAAACTGTCGACACAGTTCTTATGGCCTCCAATGTTACACTGTCCTCCTTTCTATTTTTCATCCTCAGCATAAAATGCATGCATGGGGGGGGGGGGGGGGGTGGGGCGGCGTCGTGTATTTCTCATCTCAATCGGCCCTACTTTCAGTCGCTGCCCGTTTCAGTCTTCTGCGGCCGCTGTCTGTGTGGCCGCCGTTTTCCCTCTCCATCCCTCAGCGATCGGGCATCCCTCAATTGCCCTGATTGCTGCCTTTCATGTGGCTACATAAGTCTGAGAGTTATGACCTATTCTACATCACAGCCCTAGTCCAATGAACTTAACAACAGATGCGTCAGTTGATTCCGTCGAGGCCGTCGTCGCTTGTGCAATGGAGGTGCGTTTTATATTGGCCACACATGAACACTACGGAGGCTGACGTGACAGTCAGAACGGTTACATGCACGCTTTTGTCCGTGCCCTCTTCTTTGGGACAGGGATGAACAGTCCCCGGATCGTCACACTTCCCTTGCGCCCTGGCCTCCGTGAATATCGTACCCTGGACGATTTCCTTGTTCGGGTCTATGTTTCACGGTGGAATATAACTGGGTTCAACAAGTGCAGCATTGGGCGTTGCTACATCGACAGGTTCCCACCTGATTCTCATTCACTTCTCAGTCATCCCTTTACCATATTCTATGGTGAACCAGGTACTCCGGCTCCTATCAATGACCTCGTGCTTAAGGAACTGGTGATGGACAAATATTCAATGGCTTCACAGTTCCGCGGTAATCTCCTCATCGTTAAGCATGTGCGCGCACACTCGTTCGACCGTCGCTATGATATGATTGATGTCTCCCTTGCTGATTATGTATTGCTGAAGCCCATTGTTGAATGGTATGTTGCTTGTCCCCCATTTTACAATTTTCTCATTGAACTTCAAAGGCTCATTGATAATGACTTCAAATGCACTGGGTCTACCTATCACTATCCACCTGTTACGAAGTTGGCGATGCCTATGCCCCACTCTCATTCATCGTTCAACATGAAAATTCCGTGTGTAGTCGCGTACTCTAATCTGGATGTCGCCCGTGTCCTTTTCTCCTATGTTGGGCTCAAGTCGATGTTGGCCCTTAGCCGTGTGAACAAAGACTTGTCTTTTATTATCAGGGAGTTTTACGCTGCACGGGTGGATGCTGTGTTGGATCTTGCTTTTGACAAATTCGCCAAACGCTCTTTTTGGTTTGCCATGGAGGCTTATCATTCGTACATCGGTGGCTCTGCTGCTTACTGGATCATGGACAAGGAATCAACTTTTGCGATTTCTAACATCAACATACTTGCACCATGCAACACGCAGGATCCGTGGTCGACTTGGTTAGTCAAGTTGGGGTGCCGAGAACTGTTCTTTCATGATTTCACGCGTCAAAATTTTCTTCCTCATGCTAAATCGTTTCGTGTCTTTCAATCGCCCAGGGTACGCTTTCCTTGCGACAATCAGTATTGTTGTGGCTTACTGTTGACTAGGGCATGATTATCTCTGTCTCTGAGAGCGAGTCATGCAGCGTGGTGCCGCTCATGCTTAGTGGCGATAGCACTGCAGAATGTATCGCTATTGGATGCCACGTCGCATACATCCTCTATCCAACCCTCATTGACATCCGCACTACTTTGCCAATTGCTGAGGATCTCAAGACGATGCGGCATTTGGAGTCTGAACATGGTAAGCGATGGACCTTCTCGTACAACACCCGTTATTTAGGTACTCCGTGTCGTGAATCCTGCCCAGCGCTCTGGCGATCGACCGGTGGTTATGGGGTTGAGAAGTTCAGATGGGGGAACGTCCTTAATCAAGGTACATTTTGTCGTCAGCTGGACTGGGGTGGCACAGAGTGGCGTTTGAACAACAAGTGCTACAACCCGTTGTGCCTAGCGTCCACATTTGGTGATATAAATGTCGGGGGTAACTGATACATCCTTCTTACTTTGTATGTCGAACCTTGTACTTTACTACCTGGTAAACAGTTGTACGTAATCGATATTACATCTATTACGCGCCTTTGACCTAGGTGTAACGTTTGCCGCTGCTCCACGCCCATCGAGTGTCCCTTTCTATTACATCCAATCGACTTTCATCAACTTTCAAATCTTCCGACGGGTGGTGCATGAACAGTTGAAGATCGTAGCCTCGTAGAATGCGAATATTGCTCCGGCCCCGGCTACATGATAAAGCAACATAGACGCTGAAGCCACTCATTTTCGGTCCTGTAGATGGTGGTTCTAAATCGACAACTAAAAATTTGATGGTCTGTCCTTGCCCCTTGTAGTCCGTGAATGCATATCCTGCGGTGAGTGCTAATTGTCGGCGTGTTACCTGCTTCCGCTTACCATCATCAATGGTTATTGTAAACTTCGTCTTGGATGGAACAATGGGAAGCAGGCCGGCTTCAACGCCTTTCAAGTGGATAACTGTGCCTCCGTCTGGTCGGAAGAATACAACTGCCGGTGGATACTGAAGCATACAAACACCCTCTCTTACGGGTAAAACAGCTGGCTCGCGGTCATCCAGTACGAGGCCTGTTACTGTTCCCCTTGTGCCATTCGCCAAGTCGGCTTCCGTAGCAATATTCAACACTACCATTGCTTTCATACCTACTGCGAGTTCGATTCGATGGTTGAGGTTACCCGTGTCCTTGTTCTTCATACTGGCGACACACATTTGTTCATTGTTCGTCAGCGGAATGTCACCGAATGTATCTTCAGCCAGACACGAATATAGGCGCTGCCCATGCCTGGTGCAGTGCTTCCGAATTGCGGCGGCATTCCACAGTTTCCGGGCGCTGTTCCGGGGTGTTATTAGTACTGCTTCTCGCCAGCCATCAGAGTCGAAGTCAGTTGTAGGGTTTTTGCCTATGTCAAGGCGCAGTTTGTCCACTTCCTTCATATCGTCCTCGCTACAATCTCCATGGCGAAGTCGATCCAGTAGCGACTTCCAACGCTCATCCTGCACACGCATCTGCTGCCGGAGTGTTACCACTTTGTCAAACGTGTGGTATATCTCTTTCCCGAGTATCGACAGAGGCCCGCCTGTGCTTGGGTGAAAGAGTGAGCTGGAGATGGAACCGACAGGGGGGAACTGATGGAAATCGCCGCACAGAATGACATTCATTCCGCCGAAGTAGTTGCCTGCTCCTGGCAGCTCCAACGAACTCCGTACCTGGTCAATGATTGTACTAAGCTGGGCGATCATGTCCTTTGTTGCCATCGATTTTTCGTCGATGATCAGATATTGAACATCCTGCATGTTCCGCATCCTCTTCTTTGCGATTGGCGGTGACCCAACTACCCAATTATCACCAGCCTGTTTTCGGATTGGTAGACCAGCCCAAGAGTGTACAGTGCGGCCATTTATCAATGTTGCTGCAACTCCTGACGTTGCTGTCTTCGCCAGTGCACTTTCCATTCCCAGTGACTTGAATGATTCCGTAATAGCGTTTACTGCAACAGTTTTTCCAGTACCACCAGGCCCTCGGATGATCATCAACAACTGCTGTGGTGCTTTGCCGGAAATGGTCGATTACTATGTCATGCACCAGAGCCTGGTCCTCGTTCAACATCTCTCGCCACCGGTTGCTCTGCTGTTGGTCTTCGTTGTTGCTGTGTATTTCGATCCCTGGATTGGAATTGCCATGTACAATGGATGATGCTAACACCCCCCCTACAGAATTGTCATTCACGATTCTTCCTCCTTCTGCAACGTACTTCCTGAGATAGTCACCCCATTCGTCAAATTCAAGTTTGTCTACGGGTGAACACCGCTCCGCAAATTCGGCTTCACTATGAAGTACGGTGTCTCGGGTAAATATACCAGCTTCATACGCGCACTCCATTGCAGAAGTTGCATACGCCTGCTCACGGCCTGGTATCGCATCCTGGGCTCGAATAACGTCTTCTGTTGTCCACTCCGCGGTTCCGTCTGACGTTGTACCATATTCAGGGTTCCGCTGGCCAACGTCACCGCCTTCTGTGTGTGCTGTACACTCGCTATCTGTGTTGAAGTTGTAAGTTGTATATTCTTCCGCATGTTTCTTCACCGACTGATCAGAGCTTCGGTAGAAATATTGGATGTTCTCGAGAAACGATTCATACTTGCCACATGAGTCATGTATGAAACTTGACCATGCAGAGGCCGCAGATGTGTGCGTCCTGACGAGATCTTCCAGTTTTCGCCATGGCTTCAGGATTGCCAACATTGTTAGCTGGTATTGAAGCATGCAATTCGGCTCGTCGTTACGTGGAAACCACTTTCCTACAAACTGTGGTACCATTTCGAATCCTGCCTGTCGTTCGATGCGCATGTGTTTAGGCTTGTAACCACCGTCGTACATATGCCTTGCACTCCGCGGACGGCCTGCATTAGACTTCCCTTGTTCACCCTGAATACGGTCCGTATTAGAGCTGGTGCAGTACTCATCGTATGTATCACGGAAGTACGTGAGTACGTTATAGGATTCCATTGTAACTGGCCGATGAACATAATCACGGAGCTGATCGCCAACGGTCACTTGGCCTTTTTCAATACGCAGTTGGACTGTTTCACCCTGTATTGTTTGGTCACTACTGGAATATACACGTTCAAAGGGTAATGAAAGCTCACTTCTGCTTCGTTATCTTGTCTCATCTCCACAAGGGCGATGTTCCCATTGTCGCCCACACTTCTCTTCCACCTACAAAGTGGTCATCAGTCGTTTAATATCACCAGATTTGGTCCCAGATTTGGTCCTACCTCTTGTGCAATAAGTCGGGATACGTCTTGCGCAAAGCAGCACCTATTCCATCGAGGTATATTGGGATGAACTGGTGAGATATGTAACGGTCTCCCCAGCCCATCAAATAGCTGACAACTTCGGATGCACTGAACTCTTGTTCACGATTCAAGGCTGTTGCACATCTCGTTATGAGTCGCTTGTGAACGTCCTTGTCTTCCTTGTTTGCCTTCTCTTGAACGTTGTGGAACGCAAATCGTTTTGCTACAATTGCCGAGGTGTTGTTACTTTTCTTCTTCTTCTTGGTTTGGTATGCTGAGAAATACCAGACGCTGTCCTGTGTTTCTGCACCATTCGTGATCAACTTCACGTCGTTGTTGCAGAAGATGGTCTCAAGGATAGTAGGATTGAAGCCATTCAAATAAGGGTTGAGCCTCTTCATACCCCACTCTCCTTTTTCGTTAATCCAATCCTCAGCGGACGTCTTCCACGGGGCACAATTTTTGCAGAAGCGCCGACCATTCTTGTTCTGTAAACACCTGCCTATTGAACATTCGTGTAGTTGTAATGATCTCGCTAGGTGTTTCTCTTGGCTCTTGACATCCTGGGCATACGTAGTCAGCCATGGATCAAGTGGTCTGTTATAACCAACTGCAGGCGTTGCCTTCAGGGATCGCATTTCTTCAACACCCATACCAACATCTGCGCGCAGGTTGACACTGATGAAACCTGCAACCCGTTCACGAAATTGATCACCCCTCAAGCACTGGGCCATCACAGATGGGGGTGGGGCTCCATCTAAAAAGACGAGCATGTGGAGATGTAGCATTCCCCGACCCTGGGACTCCACCATCCCAACATACGCCTTCACCACACCATATATTCCTGGCTTCCGTGTTATTCTGCCGTTTTGGACTTTGATGCCCATAAGACTGTGCAGGATGGCGCGAACAATGAAGTGGAAGAATTTCGCCGCTGCGTATGGATCCTTCGCAATCGTGATACTCCTGGCCGTTGCATCTGGACCTGCTAGTCGGTCGAATTTGTCGAGATCAATCTGTTCCCCTGCAAATATTTGCGCGATTGGGTTATTCACGTCTGAGGGGTTGATCGTTATCCATAGTGTTGGATTGTACATGGTTATCAGTGACCACACCTGGGCCCGAACACTCGCTCTATTCTGGTCCGTGCCCATTACACCTGCCCGGACAGCAGAGAGGTGACTGACTAGAGCACGCATGGCCGGGTTCGAATACTGCTGCTTCTTCATTTCCTGTTCAGCTGCTACTTCAAAATCTTTCGTGGTCAATCAGTTGATTGCCTCTTTGTGCTTTTGATAATCGCTACGAGACATCCGCATGGCTGCCGATGTGCAGATCTTCCGCTTCTGCAAAACCCCGAAGACTTGGAAGACGAAATCCAGGTCTTTGCGAAAACGGCGGTCTGCGTATTGTAAGCTCCATTTCGCATGGGCTTCGTAAGACACGTTCACCTTGCGGTCTGTTTCATAACCGCCTTTCCCGTACGGGAACAGGTGGGGGTAGCAACCCAGCAAGTGGTTTGGGTTTCCAGGTGGACCGATTGTCAGCCTTCCTGCCTCATCTTTTCTGCTGTACTCATTAACAAAGTTGCCGTGCCTGACGTTGAATCGCTGATTTTGGTCAACCGGAATGGGGGGTTTTCCTGCACTCGTCATGTTCTGGAATGCGTGTGCCAGTAGCTCTGATCTAGGAATGTTCTTTCCCTCTACATCGACGACGCCATGCGCGAGGATTGGGAACACCACTAAGGACAGTCAGCACTCTGTAAGTTTCAGGCTCTGAACATGTACCTGCTAACGATGTTGCATCTTCCAGGCCCATTGGATCTTCTTCGTCTGATTCACCTTCACTCATGGAATGTTCCGTACTTCCTTCTTCACAGTCCGAGTCGGCATCATCGGGGACGTATCCTGCATGTTCTTGATTCAACGCCAATGTATCGTCCGACCACTTCACAGAAGCGAGCACCTCCTCTGGGATTCCATCCTCGGGAAGTAGCGCCAAGTTCTTGTCGGATATCTCTATGTCGGCATAAATCGGGTTGTTGGCTATCAACCATCTCAACGCGGCTGCAACACGTTCACAATTGACTGAGG